TGTTTGGAGACACAACCTTATTGTCTACTATGTTGAGGACAAAGAGGAAATAATCCCGAGATTCATCTTTATATGGAAGTAGGCTCATTTATGAATTCTTGGGTGTTTCCCCCTCTATGGTGAAGGCTATTCTCAGTGTTTTCAGTTTCAAATGAATATATACCAGGATTTCCCACTCACCAATAGTCATCTACGTTGGGATTATATTCTAATGAAGAGATACAATGCTCCACCATGCTTTGTTCTGACACAATTGTTCTCAACCTAACAATTTAATAAAGCCTTGGATAAATAAAATAACGTTGATTAAAGGGTATGTTTGAATCAGTCGCTGGCTTTGTTCAGTGTAAGTGCGTTTATATATACAAGTATATTTAAACCTCACTTAGATAGCAACACAATGTAATTAACTGTAGTTTATTTGTTAACGAATGTACAGTTGTAACACAATTAGAGTACATTCTTTTTATTTTTTTAAGAATGGACAATTGGCTTTGTTTCTTTTACCTTATTTTTCACCAAAATTTGTGTTAGGCTACATCTCGATCAATACGATCCACAGTATACAACAAAATGTCCACATCATGTGTCTTCCTTTAAACAACAAAAAATAAAAGAGTTTGTTGTATTACTTCATAAATACATAGAGCTCGAGGTTATCCTATATGAGCCCTCGGGCAGACATATTATATTGGCCAAGGCCATCGGCCATTCTCTAATTTTTAATTATAACCGGATGCTCATTCCCTTCTTTAAACCATCAAACAGATCGCGATTGTCTGCGTTTTTCTCAATTGTCGTTTAAAATTATTATGCAAACGTTACAAGAAATTAACCAATATGCGAGCGGCGATTATGACGTAGCGGGCAGGTATATTATATATTATATCTGCCCGCTCGGAGCGGGACGTAAAGCTATATCTACCCGCTGAAAATATAAGTTTTTATAAACCTGCTTTATGTACCTGTAACACGTCCAAGTATGGGATAAAAGTTAATATCCTTCTACTATAATCCAGGCAAGTTACGCTGTAAATGCAATTTGCGTTTTGTTTTTCAGTTACACAACAGAAAGATGTTATACGTACCAATGAAACATTTATTTAGGAATAATTTGACCATTCTGATTGAAGATACTATGCCGATCAATGAGTTCTAAAAAAATTACTCGAAAATGAAGGTTTTATTTCCATTTTAACCGAAGCTGTCGATGGCACAAATTGTTGGAAAAGCAGTTCATTTACATGTACTTTGGTATCTGCAGATTATCTTCTGCAAAATAATTTGTAAATACATGTCATATTGACTTGTACGAATTTTACCCCAAATCCTTTGTTATAATGCGAATGCTGTATTTGTGATTATAATTTCACCTAAGGTCAGACCAATAAGCCAGTGTCCAACATGCTTTTAAGACCCTAAATGGATATATTTCCCAAGGGTTTTGTAATCAAATGCATACGTTCAACTTCGATCTAAAGCAAACTTAACTTGTAATGATGTTTCTCAGCCAGATCTGTCCATTGGGACATTTGTGAATTATAGACCTATACATGGATCCGTGTGTCCCGGGTAAACATGGTAAAGTGAATTAAAGAAACACGCAACGGTCGAAGTTCCTCAATCATTCTCTTGGACGTTCGTTCCGTTCCATACAGGCTGTCACAACTGAACCCAAAATGATTAAAGTTTTTGTATTGAGTTTTATTCTTATGGGAAAAGGATGACACTAGATATTAATCAAAACAAATATCATAACATGGATAATTGGAAAAGTGACCCTGCGTGTCATTGATACGATTTACAATCTAAAACTCATTTTTGAGACACAGTACTGTGTTTCGATCAATATATTATTCTTTTTTAGTGTGTCAATTCGAAATTATATCCGCAACACTGTATAATGTCAATTTTGCGAGTTAGATTGGTTTTTATCCGATTCTAATGGTTTTATGAAGGCCCTAATTGAATTTTGACCAATTAAACTGTCCGATCTTATTCTCTCCGGATGACACATCACACTTCTTGAGTAAAGTGAACCCGTTCATTCGATTGGAAATGGATTACTATGGCGATGTCTGGATTCACACATTTCATGGTTGTAAAAAGGAGACGTAATCATGAGTATCAGAATGTTGGAGGATATCGATGTAAACATCTTCGATCATCAAATTAAATAATTTCTCTGTGTTTCATTGATGAGCTTGGTAGGCCTTGCTTTCTTCCAAAACCGTCTCTGTATTCCGTTTGTTGGGTATAAAGACTCAAGAAAAGTAGCCGGGAATCTCTAAATCCACGCACGCATGTTGACAGTATTCTACAACACGTACAATTCATTACATACAGTATTCAAGATGCTAAAGTGATTTGTAAAATCGATGCAAAATTAACAAACTATGCAATATTTCAGAGCAACGTAGCAATAGGGGGGTAAGCTACACGTTTAAAGAGAACGTGTGCGTTAACGTGCAGAATTGTGGTCCCCTAAGGATCACGAAGATTAGTTCTTCCCTTCGTAGTATTTATTCACCTCATTAAGTTTATAGATAGAAGGGAAAATGTTGTAATTAGGTCCCTGGAAGAATGAAAGGGGAGAATAATCGTTGGGGGTCATTACATTACACGCTCACGTACAAGTTCTCATAAAAACGTACAGCTAACCGCCCTTAAAACTAATACACTGGCGTTAAACGTAACTTGGACATACAGATTCAGGAAGCACATTTAAACAACATACAGTATCTTGAGGTAGCAACGCGGGATTGATTTCTGGTTTTAATCAATGGTCTGTTTTATTGGTAGGGTTAGTTTTGATTCTTGCTTTTTAAAACTTGTAACCTCCTGTTGGATATATTACATTTAACGTAACCCGGACATACTACTCCGTAACATATAAAGATCATGGTACATGTATATGTATAGGAATTGGGTAAATTCGATCATTAATTTGATATATTTGTCAACCACAAATGGTGTGTGTGGACTTTAATTCATATTGAAGATTGGTAAAATATAATATTAGAAAGGTTAAAATTGCAAAATATTTCAGTCGATTGGTCAAATTGTTTTACTTCTACGTAGCAAAAGCGTAATGATAACGTAACACCTACCTCATTATGTATCTTCTCTAAGGTAGGTGTAACGTTATCACACCATTTGTAGTTGACAAATATATAAATAAATGATTTAGAGAATTTACCAAACCCTCATAGATATAAACCCTCATATCATAGATCAAATCTAATCCTACCAATAAAACAGACCATTGATTAAAACCAGAAATCAATCCCGCGTTTCAAGATACATGTACTGTATGTTGTTTAAATGTGCTTCCTGAATCAAAGGGATGGATTAACGATACTAGAATTCAAAGCAATTTTGTCCAGGTCAAAATGAAAAATAAACGATTGCATGTATTTTGAATCTGTATCCATCAAGGTGCTTCATATGACTGAAGGAACTGACTATAGTATGTGCATTGTGTACAATACCTCATCGACGAATTACGTCAGTTGATAATTTATAGTTCCACGGTGTTTGTTTTATTCAGTACTTTGTTAATAGTTTTACCTTTGTTGTTTTATCCTTTACTATTTCATGTAAGTGATCCCAATAGGCACTTGATTGGAAATTATTAATACCATGATTAAGAGTGTTGACTTATCAGCTTTAAAGGAGCAGTACACACTAAAACACTTTCTCTGTTAGTACAGGCTTATAATAATAGCCCATTGCCGACTCATTTACTTATTTTCTTGAAAATCACGAACCTAGCATAGTATACGATGCTACCACTGCAAAAATAGGCAACATGAAAATTTAAATTTAGATCAATAGTAGAGAAAGGTGTTTTGGTTTAGCATCCCTTTAAATGTTTTAGATGTGTGTTCAAAATAAACTAGAATCGTATCAAAATTAGGTAAAGTTACAAGTTTGGAAGAAATACTTCATTTCTTGATCTGAACTATCTAAAAAGGCAACAGTACATGTATCTTCATTACATGTACATACAGTTTTGGGGTTTTACTGGTTTTTTAATTAAAGGCGATTCTTCCCTTCCTAGTTACATTCTACTTCGTAAATAATTGATGTTTATATTGGTAAACCTGATATCGATATCCAACACGCTGACATATTTGGGAGCTGAACAGTTTAAAACAAATTCCTTACCATCAGATTCACCCCCTCCCCCCTCCTCCGCCTCCTCAAAGACGAATTTGCCTACAAGAAATAGTGATTCATCAGATATTAATGATTTCAAATTTACTTGTAAGCTATGTCTCAAATTAGTTTGTAATCATTACGATCTGTGTAAATTCCTTCGTAAAATATCATAAATCTCCCAAGACGCGAAGTATAAGTTGATGAGATGAATCGGAGTTCGCATCTGGTAGGTGGTTAATTAGAAAAACGGAAGCGTATAATCGGCACGTGTAACTAGAGCCATGGTGACAAATTACAAGTTTACTACCATAACTTACATTTTGATAAATTGAACGCATATTGAATGTGAATCACACCGTAATATATTCTGATATCATTTTTTCTTGCTCAGACTAATTAGAAGGATGAAGAAGTGTGAGGTCCATTTCTCATTCTTGAAATATATTCATCTTCCAAACGAACTGTCAAGTTTATTCTTACTTATATTTTCTCTTACCACTGCGTGAAATCGTTAAAACAGGACTGTTATACTAGTCACCCTTTTTATATGTATTCGCATATTTGTTTTAATCTTACAATTTTGGCGTAATTATATATCAATATAATACTTACGATGTTTACTATTTATGCATGTTTGTATTTATACAGGAATAATAATTGTATCTTATAATAGATTACTATATATACGCATATCATTATATTTGTACTGTAGAGTTCTTTTGTCATAAATAGAAATATGTTTGGCTTGTCTTCATTTATAAGCCCTGTTTACTACAACAATCTAGAGTACATAGTAATATCATACTTATCAATTATTCAGCTCAAACTATTTCCAGGTGGTCTGTTTGGATATGGCGAAGACCCAAGTATTGAAAGTGCGTTTAGGTATGCAATATACAAAATCAACCACGACCGGAATCTTCTACCAGACACAAAAATTGCGTATGATATCCAGCATCTTCCAACGTTTAACAGCTTCAAGGCTGCCAAAAAAGGTTTGTAGACAATAGCAAGCAGTAAAAAGTAGACAATATAATTCTGCATGTATGAAATATTATGCTACTTCAAATATTGAGTATGTTATCAATTCATCATATTCCTGTTTAAGTCGCATATTATAACATTTGTATAAAAATATACCAGCACATTCTCGCAATACCACTGCATTACATTTGAAATCAACATGGTCTCGGAGATGATAGCCACCACCCACATACATTCACATAGAACAGAGAATTGGTGTTGATCATTACTAGGAAATGACGAGGACTAATGTGTTGACAGGAAAACAGTTTTTAAAAAATCGCGCAACATCCACTAAATGCAATTGTATTTACCTAATTCAGATTATTGAACCAACATGACAAGCCATGTAAGTCTGGATGATCAGTATATATATTCATTATTCAAGTCTGGAGTAATATGCAGATCTCGAGTAGTCGACTAGATAAGATGGCAATTCGACTCAAAAATCCCCAAAGACATAAGCAAATTAATGACCTGTCCCAATCTCATTATTTTGGCAGGTCATGCCCATTGCATTTCTTTTTTCAGTAACATCTACCATCCACTTTTAAAATGGATTCCTTGTACACTGCTTCCTCTCATACTATTCTTGGAAAAATCACATATAGATAATGTTTAATCTGAAGCATTGCCCAATGATATATGTGAAGCTTTGGGACGGGGTTCAACTCATTAGAGAATTATGTTTTAACGTGGCTCATTCATGGATTAATTGGTTGTCAGTGGCATGATGTAAAGCCAATAGGATATTCCAATTAACGTAAGCTTTCAAGTAAGGGTCGAATATAACGAGCTTCCTTTCGGATATATGTCACTTGGTCCCATCGGTGAAAGAAGCAACCATGGAGCTGTTTTTAGAGACTACGTCACACATTGATTTATAGCCATTGTATCGGTTGTATTCATATCATTAGAATTTAGAAAATAGAGATGGCATCACACATAAAAACAGAGATGTACCTTTCCACGTGAATAATCCTCAGTGGATTCGCGAAACCATCATTCCAAAAACCACAATAATCTTTTCACAATGTTAGGCATGTTTATACCTTTGAATTATTAATTAATACACTGTCAAAGGCTCTGGGTTATCGTCGTAATCGTGATATTTAGCAAATTCTTCCAAAATCAAATTCATCGTTCATTGTGCTTCAGTATGACCTGTGAGCAGAGTCCAAATTTATACAAAATGGGTAAAATACTACCAATTATAACGTACTTTTTTTGTTTTTCAGCATGTAAACAGGTAAACCTTGGAGTAGCGTCCATATTTGGCCCACAGAGTGAAAATTTAGCAGGCCATATTAACTCTATCTGTAACTTTCTCGAGATTCCCCACGTTGAGACACGTCTTGACACAAGGGCTGATGTCGCCACTTCCTATTCTTTCAACCTATACCCAGATAGCTCAGTGCTCAGTAGGGCTTACCTCGATATCATCAAATATTTTAAATGGAGGAAGATATTTATCATATATGGAGACCAAACAAGTAAGTGCCTAACACTCTGAATTATCTGTTTTTATTTAAGAAAAGGTTTAAAACAAGTTTTGTGTGCTGGACGTTCTTCACTTCATTTGCCGAAGGAAACGGTAACTTGCCAGAGAAAAACAGCAAAGTAATATGTTTCATCAGAAGGCTTTAAACACAAACTCATTACCATTGAACACCAGTCACACCAATACACTACACCATAATAGTATTCCTATATAATCAATTTGAAAAAGGCAAACAGTCATTTACAATTCCAATGGCCCAATTAGGTATTCATGTCTTCTCTGTTCAACTACACTTCATTTTGTACCAGAGTGAATATTAAAACAATGATTTCTGTAAAACATCCTTGTTCCAATATTTCAATGTCTCAACATAATGACCCAATCGACCAAATGCCACAGAGGACCGTTAACAATCTTGCAAATGCAATTCAAGTTACAAATCATATAATGGAAAATAACTAGAGATAACTAATGATATCATTTCTTTCTGGGAATTGAATAACCATGGTATTGAATATCAATGAAAACAAGAACAAAGTTTGAAAATGCCAACCATTATGCCAGCTTCTACAAGCATCAAAAAGACAGACAACGTCGACACCACTTTATGCGTGTTATACATATAAACACCGGTCCTAACTATTTGTTTGGTGATAGGCTAAGGAATAATTATTAAGTTACAGAAACAATAGAAAACAATAATGCACTATTTTTGTATTTCAAGAGAACCATAATGGTCGAAGTATTTGACTTATAAAAAGGTTGTAAGTAATTTATGAGAACTAAAACCAACTGGTGTTATCTGACATATAAACGACTCCCATGATGATGCGATGTTGGTTCTTAAAGTGAATAATTTCTCATGGTACTTCACCAACAAGAATCCTGACTTAATAAATGTTGCTCTGTGCAACATAATTGGAGTCCACGTTTGTTCCTGTAGGATTTCTGAGCCAAATTACGTGTGATGAATTGAAGCGTGGTTATTTTGACATTAGATCTCAAGGACTGGATCTCAAATGAGATTCCTGAAAACTTATAACAATGTGCGTTAAGCTGATTGTGTAAATAAAAGTCCTTAGCCCTGGGTATTAAATATTCACTTTGAATGTACTCATTTACAAGTTTGCAAACTATACCTTGTAATGATTTCATTTAATATCAGTTGGTTAGAGATCACGCCATTTGAAATATTCAATTAGTCATACATCAAAGGCACGGTATCGCTGCGAAAATTGAATAGAAAATAGACATTTTGACAAGCAGTCCTAAATATGAGTTTAATGACAGGTTAATTGAACAATAACGTCATTTCGAAGGGCAATATAGTGAAATATTGGACCGGGGGCGAGAGCCGAAGGCCCAAGGTCCAATATTTCACTATATTGTCCGCATAAATGACGTTATTATTCGTATTATTACCACCGTTAATGACCAGGACTGAAATAGCAAGAAAATCTTACGCACTGAACGATATCTGCCGGTCGAGAATGCAATTCTTTGACCGCCACTGTGACGTCACATATTGCTCAGGTCGATATAGTAAAACGAATGCCTTCTAAACTAGCACTGAAACCCCTAGAACTGGCCCGGCAAGGTGGTAATAATGAGTAATATTGACAATTCAGATTCAAAAGAAGACAACAATGTACTCGTTTTTGTATAACATGGAATCAATAATGGTTGAAGCATCTCAGCATCTAAAACATTGTAATTTATGTAAATCATGATTTATCATTGGGCTACAAAGCTTTTAATTAAGTTATCATGAATAAACATAAAACCATTTGTCGTAGTCGCCATGAAAGTACCAAAGAAAGAATGTCATATCAACTCTTATTTTATTTTATATCAAGTAATAGAGAGATTTTAAGAATATTGTTTCTGTCTATTAAATCATCAAATTGATGATGTAGCATTCAGGTGATGCATATCGTGTAATTTAAAAACACGAAATGGGTGTGTAGAAGAGGTACTTAAAGGGCTTTCTATTTTCTTTTAGGTCTTCTACTTCTGCAAGATATTCTCAAAGCACCTGTAAATAATGATGTCACAATCACAGTCCGCCAAGCTAGCAAACTCAACATGAGAGAGGTACTCAAGGAAGCTCAGAAAAAGAAGTTTTCGCATATCATCGCTGATCTCAATATAGATGATACACACCTCTTAATGAAAGCAGTGAGTACATTGACTGACATTTATTTCATCAGTCTTTGAAACGTTTGGTACAAGATATCCCCAAAAACAGCATCTTACTTTTATTCAAAGATTTTGGTATCTGTTTTTTGGTCACCCCGTATACTCTTGAAAATGCTTACCCTGATACAGTTCTATTGACTATTGACCATTTGCGTAACAATTACGACGATATGCATAGCCTAAAATATATTCTATACACCGCACTCATCGTGTTCAAGTACGAATTAGACAATATCCGTCGATATTTGTAATTTATGATAACTGTCACCAGTGATAAAAACTCAATGTATTACTTTAGTTACCAAATTGAACTTAAACGCAAAACCAGAAGATACTACATCCCATGGTAATTTCGAGTTGTCCTGTTAAAATAAAAGTTTATTAGAAACACTTTCCTTAAATGAGAACATGGCAATGGGGTCTATGTGATTGGCAACTAGTCCATATAGTGTCATTTATAAGTAGTATGAATCTTAGAGTCAAAATAGAAAACACGTTTACTTATAGAACTGGAATATTTTCAGTTTCAGTAAATTGGAATATTAAAATATTTCATTCAATAATATCTTCTAAAGTTCTAAGTGAGCATTTAAACTTTGAAAGTAAATGTGACGCTAACATATTACCTGTTGTACAACATTATAATTAGCTATAGAAAATTCAGTCACAAAATGGAAATGTTTTAATTTCATATTGTAACGTATAAAACGTGATGGAACATCAATATTTGCCAGTGAATCTTTACTCAATTTTCACAACAAGATCACACCATAATTGAGAAAGATATTACAATCAATGAGTTGCATCTTTTGGGTCACCTTACACACAGAAAACATGTTGAGGAATAAACCGTATTAACAATTTGAATGATCTCGTACATGACTGGTGTGAAAATCTTGTATATTTCAGGCCCTGCAAATAGGAATGATTGACTCCAATTATCATTTTGTGCTGACTAATCTAGTGAGTATCCTCTGATTGAGTAACTATTGATGAACCTATTACTACTTAGTATCTTCTACGTACTGTACGTATTCCATATGGTAGCAGAGCTGATCTGAACTAGATATCGCAAATGCCATCATCCATTAAATGTTGTTAATTGGAAAAAATATAAACTTATTGATCCCTAGAATCTTGCTTCATTGAAATGACTAAAATGTCAATTAGCTATTGAATTAAATTAGTAAAAAAATAATAATGGATGTTACGATATTGATACATTGTGCAGAAGCTCTAGTGCCTAACAATCGGTTCTTAAATATGGAATGTTGCTTGATGTGAAATGATAGTGTTGAAATATGATGACTAAATATAATAGAATATAACATAATTTGTATCCAAAGTATAATTTGATATGCATTCTCATTATCACAGGATATAGAGACACTTGACCTAGATGACTATAAGTATAACTTTGTTAATCTAACTGGACTAAGACTAGTTACCAGAGATGACCCTGACAGCAGGATCATACTTGATGAGATGGCTGAATACCAAAGACGCCATGGCGTTGCACTCCTGAATAAGACTGATCTGATAAAAGTAAGAGCTGATATGCATGGTATTATATACATCTTAACCATGGGAGATGCACATCCCAAACGGGTGAAATATATGTATATGAAAGTTCATGACACAACAGCATTTTCAGATAGCTCAGATAACGTGCAATGCATGTACATTGTATTTGCTCATCCAAGAAGAAGTTCATCTTTACATATGAAAATATTAATTATGGGTTATTTTTTCTTCTTTGAGTAACCCTTAGCGTTTTTAGATGAACAACCCATCGCAATTTCATCACTTAATAAATATCTGTATGTAATTCAATCACACAGAAGTGTGTCTGTCTGACAGCTAATAAAATCTAAAAATGAAAGGATGTTATCAGTCAATATTAGAAAATAATCATTTTTATAGACTGAAGCAGCTTTGATGTATGACGCAGTGAATACGTTTGCGCATGCGCTAGAAGGTGCTGATAAATCAGCCAAAATGAGACTGGTCAATTTATCATGTGAGGAGAACGAAGCATGGTCAGATGGCAGTACACTCTACAATTATTTGAACTTAGTCAACAAACCAAAAATAAATGTATGTATTCATAAACTATGGAGTCTATGGTTTCTATTTTAGTGATATTCGTAAATGCTTTTAAAAGTTTTAATTTTGCAAAATTTCACAGATAAATACGTGATTTGACTTCTTCTGATTTCTTGACTGTCAATTTAATAATATAAGTTAATCATTCATTTTTAGGAAGTTAGTAATGAATATCGTGGTCTAACTGGTCCATTGGAGGTATCCCAGGGTGTAAGAACAGATTTCAACCTAGACATACTTCAGCTAACAAGTAATGGAATTGAAAAGGTAGTAACATATATTCAAATGAAATTTTTGAATATATGGCTTGATCCGCAAAACTTGATATTTGGGCTGCAATACATATAGAGAAAACTAGATTTATGCCATTATATGCACGCATGATAATAATTGTGAAGGGATATAACTTGATTACGTAAGGGCACTGAGGTAAAAACAGAAATATTATAGAAACTGCAGAAAATAGAAAACAAAAAACCACATCCACTTACAAGGGTTCGTTGTGAGTGATTATATTAAGCATAATTTTAGCAAAAATGACCTTTAAATAAAAAATAAAGCTCTCAGAGAACAAAAAGTCATAAGAAACCCCAATATCCCAAACGTCAATTGTTATACATAGAATTTTTGTGTTATTATTCGGGTATCATCACAATCCAAGAATATTATATATCATTCGAAACATTTAACAATTTACCACAGGTAACAAAATAAAACTAAATATGTCATTGGTAGTAAATGACAAAAAAATCAATTCTGAGAACTCCTTACACAGCAGAGCAAAAACAAAGGTTGCATGCCCAAATCCTCATTTTGCTGCTTCTAGGTTGGTTATTGGAACCCACAAGAAGGGATCAACTTCACCGTTAGTTATGATGCTGTAGAAACACGATTTGGAAATAGGACATTAATTATTACTTCCATAAAGGTACAAAAACTGATCAATTCGATAACTGGCATTTAATAAGGTTAAAATAACAATTAAAGGTATATTACAATCGTCTGGATTGGCCTCTGCCATCTTAGGTGTTAATATAATGTTTATCGTTTTCAAGTACTAGTACTAGTAATTGTTTGATAGTGTTGGAATGTACGTACATGTACAATGCATAGAGTTGACACTGTATTTGTAGTTTGGTCCGTAAGTCATTCCTATTCAAAACGCTTATTAATGAATGTCTTATGAACATCATATCATGTGGTTGTAATTTGCATTATAGCCCGTTATTAACCGAACGCTTGTAGTAACCACGCTTCTGGTAGGTCTTGTCAATGGTAGACCATTTTGATTTTAGAATGCTCGATAAAAGGTTCTTAACAATCAATAAACCATCACATTTGAAAATAATTAGTATAAGACAAAATCTGTTTTGAGTATGATTCTCATTGTCTAATACTTGATATGTTATATTTAGCAAAGTGGATGGTTTATTTCGCTAAAACATGGAACAATTATACATGTATATTATTGTTCCTTGTGGCACGTTTGAGATATTAGTACATCTGCCTATAGTTATCCCATTTCATCTAACCTTTACCTGCCACTAGAATAGATACTTCTTTATTGCATGCTGTGAATTTACTTAACTCCCAGGCATGTTTTTTATAGAACCTACTTGATTCACTCTCCTTCTCATGCAGAGATATAGCATTTGTCTTTTTAATAATTAAGGATGTTCCCTAGAGGGATTGTATTGTATTTATCTCAAATCCAGTTGTACGGGACCCTGAATGGGAGCAGTAAATATCAAGACTTTAAAAACAAAAATGTGTGTCTTTGACAAAATTGTGCATGGCACTTCTTTTTCATATTTCATGTAAAAATCATATTTTTCATTAAAACACTTTATTGTACCTTTTCAAACTCTTGTATGGTATACACTCTGGTGTTTGTATCATTCCGTATTAGTTGTTTTGTTTACATTAATACGGAATAAAACATACCATTTTAAATACCAAAAATGGTGACCTTGTCCTACGGGAATTACCCAAATGCGAGTAGGTAGTTACCAGTTTCACCACCAGGTGGCTGATTCGGGTCAATTAACATGGCAGATATATAATAAAGTTCCCTTAAACTTGAATATTATCAATTTAAGTGGCTCAATTTTCATATAACACTTATGTGTCTGATACTTATACTAATGAAAATATGTCCAGTAAAGCAAAATATTATCTGTCCACTAAAAGAAAAGATATTTCATTTTTTGTGATTTTATAGCATGGGGTCTATGGGGAATCTCCCCGAGCTAGAAGTCACATTTTCAAAGAAAATCATTTTTCAAAGTTGATAAACACTTTTTAAAACCACATTTCTAGATGTAATTTTACATGTAGATTTCAAATATGATATTACTTTGACTGAATTTCGAATTTTTAATGACGTAAATCAAGATTATTTCTACTCGCATCTGGGTTATTGGGATTGTGTTTCATAGCAAGTTCGGATGGCGATACTGTGTAGCACATGCTTAAGGGAATTGATTCTACTTTCTAAAGAGACCAAACACACCTCACTTTTTAATTAACATTGTTCAGGGCACATCCTTAACTAGCAACTTTATAGTTTTTACATACTTATTTATATAACCACTTATGAACGACTGTTGCATGCTCTGGTTTTCAAATAACAATTTTACTTTCATTAAGCTAAAGATGGTTATATTATCAGGACTCATTGGGCATCATGTATTTTTCAAATGTAAATTGCATTTTTATCATTAACATTTTAATTATACTTTCATGAAATAAAGGTTATCATAGATATGATGTATGCACCTTTGATATGCCCACATATTTGTTGTGAATGCAAGCTTGATACAAATACTGCTACTGAAAATATAAAAATAGCCACACCACTCATCTAAATGGAATTACATACACAAAGCATGATCTTATACACATAGCATATACAGTAGTGTACAATAATTTGTGACGCAATTATGCACATACTGTACAATATATAGTCTCTAAATTTGACTTTATACGCCGTGTTCTTTTATCATTTTATACAGGAACGCCCATATGTGATGGAGAAGAAACCGGGAGATAAAAAGTTTGTGGGAAATGACAGATATGAAGGATTCTGTGTAGATCTCCTTGCGGAAATTGCAAAAATAGTAAAATTTACATACAAAATAGAATTGGTCCCAGATGATACGTATGGTGCACCAAATGACAAAGGAGAGTGGAATGGAATGGTGCGACAACTGATTGATAAGGTACAATTCACATGGCACATCACTCTTACTATAAAATACATAGATAGCATGTTGCTCATTTTAGTGATTAATCGTACTAAGGTCTTATCCCTGACGCTTATCCCTAAATAACGAGATCGAGAATGTGCAAATGTATCCTAATTAAACAGATTTTATATTGACAAATAGAGCTTGATATCACTAAAATAGAACATGGTATTTTAAAGTGTGTGGTTAATGTTTGCAGCTTTGCACTGTTTCTCATTACCTGCATTCATAATCCCACTATAACGATGTCTTAAATCTAGAATGAAATGTCAATTATTAAATATTATTTATGACATACAACCATGTATCAAAGTGAGATTTAGAATGCAGGAATCTTGACTAAACTACTCTCACCTCTTATAAGCTTATACTATTGATATATTTTCATGCATTTTGTTCAAATTTCTCCTCGTTTTATTTTAGTATGATTATGTTCTGCATATTAGTATAAGGTGATATGTGACAAGAACAAATGCGGATATGGCTATACGGTGTGGGTTAGCTAAGGTCTGATGTAGGCTATTAACCTTTTTTCTGGCTGGGTAATATATTTTGGTGACGGTCAGTGAACCTGCTTTTAGGCCTAGCTACATACAGTCTCAATGACTAATCTTCACGATTAAACTATCTTTTATTTCACTACTTTAGCAATATGACTTGACTGTCAGGGATTTAGTTTAGTTTTAGATCTAGGTGGAGTAGTTTGGTAGAAACTATAATTTGTGTGTTGCTTACATCAACCATACATTTTAAAAGATGTCAACACCAGTAACTAGAAATAGTACCTAAATGGTTTTTTTCATTGAATATAGAATAGCCATCTATAAATCATTAGTTTAGTTTTTTCAATGATCGTTTACTGTAGCATCATCCATGACAGTCTCATCATATAGCAGCACGGAAGAATGTCCTACTGTTTTCTTTCAGAAAGCTGACCTGGCCGTAGCTTCACTGACCATTAATTACATCCGAGAGCAAGTAATAGATTTCACAAAGCCTTTCATGAATCTTGGAATCAGTATTCTTTTTAAAGTACCCAAGCGGGAAAAACCAGGGTTGTTCAGTTTTCTTAACCCCCTTGCAATTGACATTTGGCTATATGTCGTTGCTGCCTATTTTGTTGTCAGTTTTCTTATGTTTATACTTGCGAGATTCTCGCCTTATGAGTGGTATAATCCTCACCCATGTAACCCAGATACAGACATTGTATTGAATAATTTCTCGCTGGGAAATACATTCTGGTTTGCTGTTGGGACGCTGATGCAACAAGGAAGTGACATTAACCCCAGGGCAGTATCAACTAGGATTATAGGAGGAATGTGGTGGTTCTTTACATTAATCATTATATCATCATATACAGCCAACCTGGCAGCCTTCCTGACTGTAGAAAGAATGGTATCTCCAATTGAGAATGCAGAAGACTTATCTAAACAGACAAAAATCTCATATGGTACAATATCAGGGGGATCTACAATGACTTTTTTCAGAGTAAGTTGTTTTTTGTTTCAACTATACGTCATTTTAAGATCATAAATAAAGGTGAATTACGATACTGTGGATCATCTATTGAAATTACTCTATAATATACAAACATTCCTGTTATTAGGAATCAGAAATACCAACTTATCAAAGAATGTGGTCGTTCATGTCGAGCAAAAAGCCAACAGTGTTTGCTTCGTCTACTGAGGAAGGGATTAGAAGAGTAAAGCAAGGAAATTATGCTTTCTTAATGGAGTCCACCATGTTGGATTACACCATCCAGAGAAATTGTGATCTTATGCCAGTAGGAGGGCTTCTAGACAGCAAGGGGTATGGCATAGGGACCCCAACAGGTATGTATATCGTACGTTTATATTCTGAATCTATACGTTGTATGGAGTCTACTATATTTTGGAAAATGTACATGACCAGTAGAGATGTGTCTTCTGAATTTAAACGTAACACTGTGTATAACAGATTGAGTTCGATATGACATATGTTAAATATTGCATAGTGTTTGAATAAAAAATATCAGCCCAGAAGCCATCAATAATGCTCTTATTTGAACATTTTAAGAGATCTTTCGGATGGGCTAATTAAGAAACAATGAATGGGTAGCTTTGGCATTTTGGAATTCAACAGTCTCACAAACCTTTCCTATGGGCATTTTTTATCTTAGAGTGACAAAAAAGTCACGCTATTGACTAAGAATTGCAGTGATTGTAGTAATTCTAAAACACCTATAATCAGATTGTTAATGGCAGGGGAGGTACAAACTATAGCTTCGCTTTTTCCTACAGGTTCATTATGGAGAGACCCAATATCTTTGGCCATCCTTAGTCTGCAGGAAAATGGCAAAATTGCGATGTTGTACAACAAATGGTGGAGAAACACGGGGACATGTAGCAGGGATGAAAAGTCAAAAGACTCAACCAAGGCACACTCTTTGGGTGTTGCAAATGTTGGAGGGGTATTTGTCGTACTTGTGGCTGGGTTATCTATGGCTATTTTAGTATCATGTGTGGAATTTCTATATAATGCTAAAAGGAATGCAACTAAAGAAAAGGTAAGAACATATTATTGTGTGTATGTATATAGTATTGTGCATGCAGGTATTCATTGTCTTCAAAATTAGACTTGACTTTAATGTCATTTTGTAATATACATTCATCTCATTGCATATTGGAGCTGTATGGTTCCTGCATGTATAAATCTGATGATTTCGTTTCAGACACATTCATGTGCTGGCTCCTCTCACTTCCACAAGGTATGCACCCTAAAATTATGATAATCTCAATCAATTTGGTAAACTGTCGGAATAAGTCGTGGAAATAATATGATTGATAGGCTATACAAATACGGACGGAATAGTATAAGAGGTTATTATCACACCCGGTGATCGTGAAAATGGGACAGAGGGGGGGGGGAGCAGGCAATTTCTGCAAGAAAATTCAACAAATCTGAGAGATTTATTTTTTCAAGAAAAAGTTTACTATTAAATTGCTGAATTGATAGGCGCACGGTATGGTAAAATATGTTAGGTCTTCTGGGATTTTTTCTGAAGCGATAGGCATCTAAGATATGAGATCTATTAAAAAAGGCGTGAGGCAACCAACAGACACAAATCAACGTTTTAGCTATAAATCAAGCAACAATTGTCTACACGACCTGTATTAAATACTTGTAAGTGACGATATCATAACTAAATTAATGCCATTGCTGAATTTATCAAATAAGTTTCCATACGTAAAATAAAAAATAATCGAAAATAATTATGGGACGGAGGGGGGGAGCAATATGTATCATGTCTAAATACATATTGCTCCCCCCCTCCGTCCCAAAATTATTTTCGATTATTTTTTATTTCACCTATGGAAACTTATTTTACAAAGTCAGCAATAACATTAATTTTGTGACGATAATGTCACTTACAAGTATTTATTACAGGTCATGTACACCATTGTTGCTTCATTTATAGCAACAAGATTGACTTTTGCACGTTGGTGCGTTGCGCCTTTTTGAATAGATCTTATACCCTAAAAGAGTATCGGTTGAAAAAAAATCCTAGAATACCTAACATATTTTACAATACCGTGAGCCTATTTATTTAGCAATTCAATTGTAAACTTCTTCTTTAAAAAATAAATCTTCCAGATTTGTTGAAATTTCTAGCAGAAATTGCCTGCTCCCCCCCCCCTCCGTCCCAATTCTACGATCACCGGGCGTGATTATATGATTCGATAATGTATAATATGCGTATAATCAGCGTATAATCAATGGTTTGTGTTTTAGCAATCCCTATGTACAGAGCTAGCAGCAGAATTGAGATTTGCAGTGCGATGTCACGGATCGTCCAAAAGACCTGCATTGAAGAGACAATGCTCTAGATGTGTAAGTCACACAGCAGAACCCCCTAATCCAATAAATGGGGTCAGGAGCGCAAGAGAGGTACAGAGAAGACACTCACACCTGCATGTACCTCCACACAGCCCACATGATAGCGAAAATGGAAATGGTTATTACAACTATCCCGAATATATAGATGGTGGGAACCATATGCAGTATAAAGAAACCAAAACTTAAATGACTAAAATGTATACCGGATGCATCGATTCATTTGTGTATCAATTTGTGTATCAATTTACAGTGTATACAATGTAAATGCACAACACAAATGAAGGACATTTGTGCAATGAACGGTATCGATGCATTGCGAAAACTATAGTATTGTTGCTTACTAAGCTTTAGTGTATATTTTTGAGTTTCGTAAAGATTCATGCTTCCAGGTAATATTTGTGATAAAGATATTCCCATATTGTATTTTTCTAAAGCGACTCCATTTTACTTTATATAATCAGCATATACATGAGGAAAGTTTAACTGTTAACTATACCTCAACAACAGGGTCTTCAATTTTGATGTTATTGCTTTAAGTGCATTCTGATTTATATTGGTTATTGTTTGTAAATAAGTGCTGACGCAGCATACAGTTTATGTATGCATTAAGATACATGCTTCCATAGTTCATAATGTATTACCAGTGTACTGTGTTTTGATGTAACATATTATTCAAATACATTTAGTTGATAAATAATTATGTCAACATATTTACTGTGATTCACACGGTCACTTATAAGTGTGTGATCCTCATGACTATCATAGAATATATTTGAAACAAGGATCAACATGATGAAAAAATTGAATTACCAATCATGGGTAATTGTGTTCATGCATGCGTCACTAATATCACCTTTATGTACTACATGCTATTTTAGTACTTTCTGTCCAATATCTGAACAAGTTTAATATTTAAATTTTTGACCTAATTTATAACACATTTCATCGTTTACGTATTTCTAACAATGTTTTTGCAGGTTAGTTGTTATCAATGAATTGAAATACTGCTTAATTAAGGAACAACCTAAACGTATTATTTATTGATGTATCACAGTACATTTAGCTAATTTGGCAAAATTTCCTAATAATTCATAGAGGGACGACCAGGGGGATATTGTACCAGGGCTGGTATATGGACTGTGATTCGCATCAGAACAAAGAAATTCTCTACAGGAGCATGTATTGCAATACATCAATAAATATCAAGGTTGTGTCAGGCTGTAATTGAATTCATTTTACGCATTTAGAATGCATGTTTGTTGCCATTTAGTTTTGTTTATTTCACCCATTATTCTTAGAATAGAGGTTTACTGATACAAAACAAAACAGATAGCAACATTGTTCCAACGTATATCAGTAAGTATAAATCATATGTTACTGAGCATTTAAAAAAGGATGTCTTCAATAAAAACACAATACTGAACTGACAGAAAATCATCTAAACATGATAAATATATAGTTAGAGTATGTTTAAGCCTAACTTAAACCTAAAACGTTTGTAGCATGTATGAATGAGTATATTGAATTGGCGTTGACGAGATCTTTCATCTTCAGCATGATTGCTGTTTCAGAAAGCTGACTTGGCTGTTGCCTCACTTACGATAAGTTACGTCAGAGAACAAGTGATAGACTTCACCAAACCATTCATGAACCTTGGGATAAGTATTCTTTTTAAGATTCCCAAGAGGGAATCCCCAGGATTATTCTCCTTCCTCAACCCATTAGCCATTGAAATTTGGCTATATGTCATAGGAGCTTATTTAGCCGTCAGCTCTCTACTTTTCGTCATAGCTAGATTCAGTCCATATGAATGGTATAATCCTCATCCATGTAATCAAGACACTGACGTCATCTTCAATGACTTCACTTTAGCAAACAGTTTCTGGTTTGCTGTTGGGACGCTGATGCAACAAGGAAGTGACATTAACCCCAGGGCAGTATCAACTAGGATTATAGGAGGAATGTGGTGGTTCTTTACATTAATCATTATATCATCATATACAGCCAACCTGGCAGCCTTCCTGACTGTAGAAAGAATGGTATCTCCAATTGAAAATGCGGAGGATTTATCAAAACAGAATAAAATACAATATGGTACCGTCGAAGAGGGTTCCACAATGACATTTTTCAAGGTAAACCGATTATCAACTGGTTTTTAACATTTGGCGTTATAATAGACGTAATTTCCGCTTGTGTTCTTTTGGTTTTATCTAATAATAATGAAAACGTGTTTATCAAAATGCATACATACACATATTTCAAGCGCTAAACTTCGAAATCCATACTTATATTTTAGCAATCAAAAATTCCTACCTATCAGAGAATGTGGTCATTTATGGAAAGTCAAGAGCCAAGTGTATTTGTTAAGAACTCAGATGAAGGGATAAGTCGTGTGAAAGAAGGTAACTATGCCTACCTAATGGAATCCACCATGCTGGACTATACCATCCAACGTAACTGTGACCTCATGCAAGTAGGAGGACTGCTAGATAGTAAAGGATATGGTATAGGAACGCCAGTAGGTAACTAAAGCGATTATACTTAATAAATACGAAACCACACATGAGTAAAGATCAAAAAGACCAACACATAAAAAAACATATTTAAAAAAACGTCCAACAATAAACCGTTAATATGATATTTAGAAATTCAAGTATAATACAAAATGATACTCAGTATGGTATTAAATATTTGGAACATTTGACACAGTGGAAATGGAAACTGGATATGAGGAAAAATTGAGATAATAATAATTGCATACTGATATCAATTTACAGGTTCCCCATATCGTGACCGAATCTCAATGGCAATACTAAGTCTACAAGAGAATGGAAAGATCCAGCTTCTTTACAATAAATGGTGGAGGAACGCCGGGAGTTGCAACAGGGACGACAAGAAAAAAGAATCCAAGGCCAGTGCGCTTGGGGTGGAGAATGTCGGTGGCGTATTTGTTGTTTTACTCGCTGGCTTGGCTCTAGCTGTTGTGGTTGCAATATTCGAGTTCATGTGGGCTGCAAGAAAAAAGGCTCACAAGGATAGAGTGAGTCGATAGAACCATCTAAATTTTATTTAGTTTTACTGGGGAAGGGTTGATATTTCTTCTAATAACTTGCGCTGATCCATTTATAGTCTTGGATGTTAGGGGTTGTTATCCTTATAACTGGTTCAGGTCCTTCTGCCACTTGTACTTACATATTTACGAACATAAATTTGAACTTGTCTTTAAGCTGATGGAGCATCGTTTTTGTTTCAGCAATCACTGTGCGGTGAGATGGGTGACGAATTGAGATTTGCCGTCCGGTGTCAGAGTGGCACCAAACGTCCAGTCGTCAGACGCAAATGTTCCCAATGTTACGTTCACGCTCCGGATCATTTGGAGCACATCCTCGAACCACCTCCCAATAACGGGGTTCCTCAGCTCATGCTACCACCTGAGACTAACCATAAATCATCTCCAAGCAATGAACTTATATTCAGAGGATACGAGCCTCCGGTCTATGATTCCTATAATGACTATAATAGCAGAGAATATACTGAGACGAATAACAAAAGGACATGAGCATTCATAGTAAAGCCATTATAAGATCCAAGTCCGACCAACTACAACTGACCCTATTTTTAGTATTTGTAGCAAGTTCTCAATTGGTTGAAGGTGAAATAAACTGCGAATAAAATGAACGATATGACGTTTGCTTTTTAAGCTATCGTTAGGAAAAGCAATATATTCACGATCAATTGATAATCATTTTTCTTATATTTATTTATACTCAATTAGATGTGAAATCATTTTACCACTCTAAAATGTGAAAACTAAGAATTTCATAATGTCGATTTGGCATATAAAAATATTGCTTCAAAATGTTGATATCTGGCTGATAAAAATGTGGTTCGTGCCAAATCCCCACAGTGAGCACTATCAATCTTCATTATCAGATTGTTATTCAGTTATTAGACTGAAAGTGCGGTTTCTCATTTGACTTCCGGTTTGGACTCTCGTTTTTGTTTGGTCATAATCACTGAGTTACTTATTTTCAACTTCAGTTGGGTCTCAATATTCTAAGCCTTATTGTGATACTTAAAACATGGTCAGAATCGCTTGCAAATCGCAGATATTGAGCTCGACGCACAAATTTTTTTACCTTTGCTCATGGGCATGGCCTCATATCTATTTATAGATCGCCAATAAATGTTGAAAAAATTCTGACAAGTTACAAAAATATGAAAGTTGAATAAAGATAAAATTATCACTGAGCTGCATGTCCGAACACCTCTCTTGAAATGTGAACACTTAAGTTGAACACTTGTGGTCGTCGTACTATAGTTAAAATTCCAGTCCGACTCTGTATGTCGATGGCTTTTCTAAACTAAGAAACACATTTCTAACACTATTGAATATAATTATCTAAAATATGTAATGATATAGTAACCTTTGAAAAAGGTTCTATGCAAAGCATATTTAAATGTATAACTCTGAATACAATGTGATAATGGTAAAATGTATAATTTCTGTATACCATGTACATGTGTAAATAGTGTATATAATGTTTGGAATAATTTCGAGCTGACACAATTTAAAGTCTCGATTTGAATATTTTGATGCATTAATAAGATGTTGAGATTTCCCAAGGATGGCCGAAATATGTTGTATTATTATTGTTTTCGTCCACCATAATGGTTTTTCATGCATATAGTTTACATAAGTTGTTGGACAAATCAGGAATATGTCGTAGTTTATAAAGTCCACTTTGAATTAAAAACAGATGGTTTTCAAAAAACATTTTTCTTAAAATTGCTATATACATGTCCGTGTTATTTTCTGGTACAAAATAAAGTATTAAGGCATGTGTGTTATTTCCTTACCCTTTTCCTTACTTTCCTTATCACATTGTAATGTTAATCGGTTAATGGTAACTCCAGAGAATGCTGAAAATTGCTGCCTTTTCAATTTTCAAAATTTCCTCTCCAAATTGTCTCAACAACTCTGGATTGACTAAAAATCATTTCCCAGACAGTATATTAAAAAAGGATGGATTCCAGAAAAAATGAGGAAATACACTCATGGCTCCATACTTTATTTTGTACCAGAAAATGACATGTGCAGGTAAAGCAATTTGTTTTTTATCGTACCTAATAAAGGTACGATATTGTCGTCAGCTTGACGGGCGGGCGGCGGGCGGGCGGGCGGCGGGCGGGCGGCCGGCGTCTCACCTTTCAGCTTGTCTACAGGTTTCCAGCCAAACCATTTAACAGATTCATCTGAAATTTTCAGGAATGTTTCTACGTATCAAAGTTAAGAACTGATTAGTTTTTGGGCATTCTGGGTAAATTTTAAGGTGGCCATTTTGGATTTTCCGTCCTAAAATCTTCACTTTCAAGACTTGTCTACAGGCTTCCAGCCAAACCATTTGACGGATTCATCTGAAATTTTCAGGGATGTTCCTACGTATCAAAGTTAAGAACTGATTAGTTTTTTGGCATTCTGGGTAAAATTTAAGGTGGCCATTTTGGATTTTCCGTCCTAAATTCTTCACTGTCTCACTGCTGTGTTTTAGGTACGATATTGTTCACGTTTGTGCCTTGTTCCACAAGTATCTTATCATGAGTTTTTCAACCATTGCTTGTGAAGCAGCTGTTATAATGTCAAGCATGATTCCTTGGATGAAATACGAGAACCCATTTACTCTGTTACAAAATGACTTATAAGTTATAACACCTACAATATGGTAAATAAAGAATTAATATCTGACACATTTCGCTGATATGGAATATATATACAAGCTTCTGTGGCCTCCCCCTTTACTTGACTAAACACCTCACACACTTGTTGGCAGGGGCCTGGAGCTAGACCAACAAGTCCTGGTCTTTTGAACATAATAACCATCAGGTGGCATGGTTGATTCAAATTTGACAAAATTGTTTTATTTACATTCTGAAACAAATAAACTGTAAATCATAATGTATATATTTAGTTGTGTTCATCTTATACGCCCAACCGGTCACATTACAACACCGAAAGAATAAAATACATCCAGGAGATATAATGAGTAAAAAGAACCAACAGAAATGTTCAAGCCAGTTTACTGATCAACCAAGACAAGGGTGAAAATAGCAATATAGTTGTACAAACCAGGCAGAGCAACCTCACAGTGTTATGAGTGTTTTACTTAGGGGCCAAAAGGACCATATAAAAGGAAGACGGTAAATCCCAGAACAGGACAATGCCTTTTCTATTGAATATCGTATTTTGTGTTTTATTCGAGGTCATAAAGATTGGAATTTATGCATCCTTTGGGTGACATTTTTATAGAGTGATCATTTGTAAATATAATACTATTTTCTGCTTTTCATTTTAGAAGCGTGACGCCCTTGCTTACTCAGAAGAGTAGTAACTAAAACCCAATGTAAACAATGTCATCATATTTCAGACAATATTTTTTATCCCTAGTTCATCTCGATCTGGAAACTTTCATTAATCTGATTGAATATCAATGAATATAAGACCAGCGTGCTTGCTATTCCGAGTCTAGAGGCTATATTGCCTTCAAAATTAAGGATTTGATTAAATAAAAGTGTATAAAAGTTATTCCTAAGGAAGGCACGATGGTAAGTACAACGATAATTTTTCTGTATGTAGAGTATTTTTTATTTCCATTGGAATAAGATTCAAATTGGTTTTCTATGTTTAATCTTCAACCTGACATCGTTATTGTCATTTACATGTAGATTGAAAAAGACACACTGGTAAATATCGCAACTGGAAAAAGCCATTTAGAAATTTACCCAGCATGCCCTTAACCTAATCAGATCTTGGCACTAGTCTGCTCTTGCATCTGTTTTTTTTCAATTTTGATGGCAAAAATGACCATATACTGGTACATTAAAAAATTGGCCTCATTTACACATTTTCTCGTGGGATATATTTAATGTGTAACTTTAAAAATACAAAAGATAACCTTATGATAACTATTCTATATTTATACATACCAATCTCAAGAGAATCTCAACTTGATTCCCTGACAGACGTGTAAATAACAGTGTTTTATCTGTATTTATTGAACGACTCTCGTAAATGTGTGACAATGTGACCGCTCATAGATACTCAATTCATACAAGAGAGAGTGAACGTTTTATTCTGTCCACACACGAATTTACAATCTAACAAGACTAATTGCAAGACAAACATTTCTACTATTACATAAGTTATTTTGCACATTGAATAATAACGTGTTTACCTTACCCGGGTGATCTATGCAAAGACGTTCTAAGCTTATGATTATAAATATTGAAGTCGTTAATCGATTGCGATATTCAAACATATCATGCATCGTCGGTTCCCACGCTCAATCACTACGTTCTATGAGGATAGGTCCGAAGCTTGATGAAGCAAGATGCATATCATGCCGGATATGGAAACCTTCTTCAAATATACATTGTCATGTCTTTTATGAAATATATTGAAATTGACATTGTTTGGCTCGACTCAGACTGAGTTGACACATTACTGTTCTTCAAAGACTGATAATAAGAGAGGTTTCATATTCCCATATGTAGATGTCTAAAAACAAGTTCAATTGACATCAATATGTGTAGAATCTATTATCAAAAACGTTGGTATTCATTTGATAGGGAGTTTAAGCTTGCATATAAAGAAACAACAACCTATACTTATGACTAATCGCCCATACAAACGCATCGCTTAAATACTTTCCGTTCACGTTTAGGTTGTGAAAAACATTGCAAGCTTAAACTCCCTAACATTATATGCACGTGTTGTTTGTTTCAATTGCCTTACAGTTGTCAAAATGTTTTTTTCTGTTATTGTCATTTACGTTTTCTGCTGTACCTATTACAATCCCTAAGTCAATGGATCAAACAAGGCTTTTGGCATACTCCCTGGCAGTGCTTGTCTATTCCATGTCACTGCGTAAGGGTTCGGGCTTTTAGTCCCATAACCCCCACCCCGATTTTTAATTGTATGCCATAAAATCACAACCCCGTATTTCTTATTTATTTCAGATGTTTGCTGTGATGCTTATCGTGGGCATCATGTCAATGTGTGCTTATGGTAAACCACTCGACTCGCCTGACCCGTATATATTTCCTCCTTTACCCCCGATGCCCCCGTTTTATGATTATCTAAATCCAGATATTGTGGAATATCGAGAAGGTACTACTCATAGAGTGGAAGAGAAATACTGCATGATGAACATCACATATGAGGGTCAACCAAGAAATGATCTGCTTGATCCGCTAGAAGCATGTTGCATTTTGCTCTATAACGAACGCTATGATGTCGACAACACTTTGAAATGGACAACGATTGACACCCTACAATGCCAACGCACGTGCAGAACGATTTCAAATGTGTATGGAAAGCCAATTGCTCACGGGAGCCTCCCAAACTGCAAAAACGTTGATAACATGAATGACTTCAAGGATGGTTTGCTGTACGCGGCAGACCCCGTTGGAGAACTGGTGCAAAGAATGTTCAATTGTAGAAAATTCACCACGAGAGAAAAATGCAAAATGTCCAAGCGTTATTTTTACAAATGTTGTAGTTTGAATCCCGATGATATCGCTTATACATGCCCGTCAAATTGCACTAAACATATTAAATTATAAAATAAATTAATCAATTGGTTGTTTGTTATTATATATAATGTATATATATCAGACAATATAAAATTAACATTTGGGCTAAACCATTTGGTCAATATGAATGGTCTTAAACAAGGTTCACATTTCTTTCTACTTTACCAAATAGATGATGGATGATGTTTAATCCCCTTAATTCTACATAATCTACTTTGCATGTACTTTAACTCAAGAATAATAAGTTTTACATTTGTTTTATTTCCTCTTTGAATAATAAATAATTGCCTACAGTACAAATACACAATATCTATAGGCTATTGTAATTAGATTGTATCAGCAATACCAAGAAGAGTTTTGAATCCATCATTCTTGAAACTGCATGAACATAGAGTTACCCAAAAATTGTAACAATTTCTTCAATATTATATATTACTATTTTTGGGGTCACCCAGTAATGTAAAGTAGATAAGTGGTTGATCACTTTTAATGGCATACAAATGTCATATTCTAAGGTTTATAATAAACAAAAGAACTAACTTATTAGGTCAAGTATAACATTACATATGACAAATATCATAGAACTTCATTTTGAATATGCTTACATAATGATGTCATATGCAAAAAGTGAGATCAGATCATTAACCCACTTAGCCATCTTAAAGGAGAGCAAAGTGTAGAGAGAGAGTTGAGGATCCTTTTTGAAAAATGATCACACTATTTACCATAAAAATCTAAGAATCTTCAGCACTTTATTCAATGAGAATAGATAAATAGATAAAAAAAACTTGACAAACAGCATCTTAAATGTTTAACTTAATTTCATTTTGATCAGATATCTGAAATCTTTTTAATATATTTAAGATTGTAAGAAATTTCTTCCATCATTTACACTCTTCTAATAGTTTGCTGTCCCATTAGTAAAGTGTAAGGCTTGCACATGTTTGCTATGAAGAAACTATTTTAGAAATGGTATCTTCCTCTTCAATGAATACTTGAGCTTCATCTTAACTTCTATCAACCTCATGTAAAAGATTGCTTTAAACTATTTGTGCCTATTCAATAATCCGGTGGTGTGCGTTTGAAGATGAAATCCTAATACATCTATAATATTTTTAATATCTTTACTTTATAGGAGCGTTTTTGAGTGATTTACACGTAATGTTCCCCAGTTTAGTTTTCATGACGTTATCCTGCCACACAGCTAGGAGATCACCATTTGTTTTCAAATCAACCTGAAACGAAAAGAACTCATTTGAAAGTAGCCTCTGTGCAAATCAAAGTGAAGTTTGCAGTAAACATATAACTGTTAATAATAACAAAGAAATGTGAGCAATTTCTATTAGGATATATGGGTCACCCCACATATGCATTGTCAAAGATGCAAATTAAGATTTGAAGTTAGTTATGACACAATAATTATTGTCATAATATTACAAACAAGCATTTCAAGTTATTTTATCTAGAACACAAAAAACTATCAAACAAAAACGAATCACATACAGCTAGCTTTTCCCAGACTTTCTTTTTAGGTTTAAGTTCTTCATCAGGAGAACCATTTTCATAGCCTTCAAAGAATACACGTTCGCCAGGTGCACTGCCCTCTGGTGGCAGCAAGGGTTCAACGCAGCGAGGATCAGCTCTGCAGAGAGGAAATGCATTTTAAGTTTAATACAAGAATTGATGCGTTGTGGCTTACATGCAGAGTCTAGTTATAACTACCTAAGTCCAACAAATGCAAAGGGTAGAGGCTCTCTTACTTTTATATTACTTTTTAAGTCTGCTCTTTATGTGAGTTTCATAATAAAATGTGACGATACTGTACGCATATACATTATTTCCAAAAAACTCACATCAATAATTCTTTTTAATTTATCAAAACTAAAAGTTCCAAATTAAGGGTTAAAGTCAAATCAAATCAAGTGAATGGGATAAAAATAAAAGACAATAATGATTAACATATCATGTTATTTCGAGAGTATTACCCTTCAGAAAATTCCCCTTCTAAAGGAATACAGGCAACAGGCAAAAATAGCCTTCGCCTAAATAAGTCATAAAGAATAGACATTCTGAGCAAGTGCCTAAAGCAGTAAATATTTCCCATATACAATGATATAGATGCATACAACAGAGGCAACTTACACAGAGGCACACATCAACATGGCTTTAGATTCAACATCCCTCATCTTCACTGGCTTGAGATTGCACATGAACACACCTACTCGGCCCTGTAAGTCCTCTAGGGGGACTAAACCCGCTAGCCCACTTACTACTGTCCGTGGAGATTCCTCTCCCAGGTCTACAGTCTCTACATACAGGCTGTCAGCATTGGGATGCTACAGGAGAAAGTATACACACGTTTAACAAGAAATGCAACTCAAGCACTGGGAGGTCAAGTTGCAAATTATGTGATATTATTATATAAATACAACACTTTGATGTTCTGTTTATGACATTTTGTACTTCTTAAAATGGTTACTGACATCTATATATGGGTATACAGTACACTGCCAACAAGAAACTTCTAACATTTTTACCATGTACTTAAGCTGTTGTTCCTCTTCTTAAAACTTGTAAATTGACCTTGCAAGTCCAGTCTATACAATCTTTATACCATGGTAACCAAGTAAAGCATATCATATTGCCATGGTACCAAGTAAAGCATATCATATTGCCATGGTAACCAAGTAAAGCATATCATATTGACATGGCAGCATTTAGAGAGATCAGAGAGGTTTCTCACCATTTTTGCTTCAAGGATTTTGCCAACTCGGAGATCAAGTCTAGATGGTATGATTTCCTCAACAGCTGCTGCAGGGTTCCCTTTCACCTTTGGACCTTCTGTAATTGAACACATTGTTTTTAATTTAACCCTTATGCCTGCAACCTTTTTTTAACACTTAGTCGAAGAAGGGGGGGGGGGCATTTGGACACCACCTCTGTGATTTTTATTACTTTTCTGATTTCAATAATGTTGGTATTGTTGTAAATCTTATTCAATAATTAATCCTTCTAGAAAAGTATTACTACATTATTGACATTTCTTGATAAATTGTTCATTTTCTTTCAAAAGAGATCTTATGTTGCTCAAAAAGCTATATTTGGTAAAAGAATAATCTATTATCTTTCAAACAAAATCATAATCAAGGTGAAAGCCAGGCCTGTAGCCAGGATTTCGCAAGGGGGGTTCACTTTTTGAAAATTCCAGGGGGGTTCACTTGTGACAATTTTGGTCCTAAAATGTCGAAAACACTTAAAAAGTGCTCAGAATGGTGAAAAACTGCATGATTTTGAAAGATTTTTTGGCCAGGGGGGTTCCCTCGAACCCATCGAACCCCCCTGGATATGGGCCAGAATGCTTTTCTATATTCATATAACTCACTCTGTTTTGCTGGTGGTGGGTAAGCATTGAGAGTGAGCTTCTTCATCTCAGGTGTATTGAAGTCTGCCCTGATGGGGTCCATTAATACATCCATGTACTTGCAGACTGAAGCCTTTAGATCACCAGGGTGCAATTCCTGAAGATACGTATGCATTGTATTATATACAGTGCAATATATAGAATCAATATGGAAAATAAAATATATACAATACAAAATACAGAATACAATTTGTAGATTCAATAAGATATCTAGTTTAAGATTCTATGTTATAATTTATACAATTTGAAATATCTTATTACATATGTATACTTATTTCTAATGTTCAATTATGCTAATGACTTATTTTCAAGAGTATGGTTTTTTGAAAAGGTAACATCATTTCAACCAAAAACATTTATATCAGCAAAACTATAATGCTTTTTTACAGAAACGGGTTTATTGTTGATATATTCAAACCATCAATTTTACCTCTCTGGCAAATGCAGCTTCAATTTCTTCAAAAGTTTTAAATGTGACATCACCTCCAAAATCAGGGGCTCTATTGATAGTGAACTCTGAAAATACATACAAACCTTTTTTTCCTTGTCAACCACAGACATTTTGCAAAATATGGACCTCATATTAGAAATTTCACTCTTGGGAATAGACACAAATTTCTTGTTCAACCATTGAATGTTATCACAATTTAATATTAAGTGAATAAAACAAACTAAAATTGAAAATTATCATGAAGGTATACAGTAACTCCTGTTGACTTCACCAATAACAAAACTCTCACCTCCATCTTTTGATAACGGCAGTAAGACGTGTTTGACAAATGACAGTACACCATTCTCTTTTATATTTCCTGGTTCACAGAAAGCTTTCTTCAATTTTTTCTTAACCTGGGCTGAAGTATCCAGTAAATCGATTTTGGAGTCTTCATCTGATGAGCTCATCTTATTACCTGTAAGTCCTGGTACTGAATTGTAAAAATAACAATTCATAATATGCTGCTATAAAGATTTATTTTCACTCTCTCACATGTTACTGGAACCAATTAAATCTTGAAATTAGAAAAACCATTAAACTGGATATTTTCTACTGTGTTCAAAATGTTTGAATGAATTTTCAGGAGATCCAATGACAGCTAAAACAAATTGGAAATGATTTAAATCTCGAAAGGAATTTCTAGTTTTACAATGTGATGTTTTGATTTAGTTTATATGCAATCCGAATATGCAGTCAAATATCAAAACAGTGTATTTTCTATCTACAGTGAAACCTGTTAAGTGGAACACCTCTGTTGGTGCAACACTTTTCAGAGTGAAATGAAATCTCATATCGATTATTATACACTAATTGAAACTAGCATTTGTATCTACTTTATCTTTCTCCACTTTTATTGCTTTTCACTTTTGTTTCTCCCAGGCCCGTAGCCAGGATTTGCCAAGGGGGGTTCACTTTTTGAAAAATTCCAGGGGGGGTTCACTTGTGACAATTTTGGTCCAAAAATGGCCAAAATCACTTAAAAAGTACTCAGAATGGTGAAAAACTGCATGATTTTGAAAGATTTTTTGGCCAGGGGGAGATTCCCTCAAACCCCCCCCCCCCTGCCTATTGGCCTGGATAATATACCCTGCAGCTGATAAGAGGGATAAACATTTCTGATGCTAGCCAACAAATATTTTTAACATGTCTTAATTGTAAATTACTCACCCATTGGGTTCATAAAATGGATTCTTTTCTGGTAACCAAGATTTGGTAAATGCTGAAATAAACAATAAAACATTTATTGGACAATAAACTTTGTTGATGCATCAGATACATACAACTAACAAATGAAGGAAATAAATTTCATTTTTCATCTACAATTTTTAACACTTACTTTTTCTGCAAACGTGAATATTTTTCGTTGATCAACTCCGCCAAATTGAGCGTCAACTTTCAGATATTCCTCGTCTAGTGCCTGAAATTAAACATGATTTAAAATATGAAGGTTTCATTGATGGGAATGGATCAAAATGTCAAAAATACTTTTTTGAGAAATTAATCTAAAGGATTTAGATCAGATTAGAGATCCCTCTCTTCACTAGAGCCTCGTAAAAATGACATATATGGTCTTGGGGTGGGGGATAGAGACCAACATACCTGAAGGCCTGGGTAGAGCATGCCACTTAGAAGGGGGTGGTCAACTTGTTTAACAACCTCTGCTCCTGCTTTCTTGGCATCATGTTCTGTGACCATTGAACTCATTCTGTAGACATCTAGTGTGTATTCTCTGGTGAGAATAAGAAATATTAGTAAGAATTAGACTACTAGTACAAAGATAAATACACAAAAAACGCCTGAAGGCCAATGTAATGCATGTATATCCAATAAAACACAAAAAACACCTGAACCCGAAGGCCAATGTAATGCATGTATATCTGTCCAAAAAAACACAAAAAACACCTGAACCCGAAGGCCAGTGTAATGCATGTATATCTGTCCAAAAAACACAAAAACACCCAAAGGCCAATGTAATGCATGTAATCTGTCCAAAAGAAGGCAATGTCATACACTGTTATCGTAAAAAATCCCTAAACTTACTTGCTCAACTGGTAATCTGTTCCTTTGACAAACTTGAGTTTCTCAAGTGGGACTCCAATACTTTTGAGCATAGACTTGATTACATGTTCGTAGTACTGAGTCCTAAATTCTAGCAAACTCCATGGAGCCTTCATGTTATCGAGGTAGGCATGGAGATCGGCAAACAGTATGGTCACCTGAAAAAGATGAGTGACATTTACAGTTAATTAATTGGTATGACGTATTGGCACGTATTGGCAGTTAAGGCCCTATGACAAGAAATGATGGGACTTATTGTCAAAATATAAATAAACGAATGGATGTACTAATGCAAAACAAAATGCCACCTATGAATGGAAGAGTTGCATTGATACCCAAAGGACCTTATTTGGAAGTTTAAGTTGTAAGCGACAATTTTCTGCATCATTCATAAAAATAGCTTAGATATATTTATAAAGGCCTGGTGTAAAGTAACACATTTTGATAACATTTTGGAGGACTATAATATAAGTCAAAATGTTTTAAACTTTATACAGGCCCTTTAAAATTCAATTTTTTATTACCTCACATCCAGCCTTCAAGAAATCAGCAATTTTCGACATAGGTACGAAATATGCCACGTGGGGTTTCCCCGTTGTAGCTGTACCCCAGTATACTTTTACATCCCTCTCCTTTAGTATCTCCTTCAAGCGATCTTCACCCAGAGTTTCCTACAACAGAACATGGTAGTCATGGATAAGTTTATATGACAATAGATGATTTGCAACTTAATTCTATATTGTTTAAATGTGTTCTGTTAGTGAATAAAGAGACAGAGAGTGTAAAATGTTGAAAGGTTTAACAATTAGTGCAGAGACTTTACCAACAATCATGGACCTAGTGTCAAAATATATCGAAGTTTGGATATTTCATCAAGGCTAACATCTGTTTTCATTATCTATAAAGAAACGCCCAAAATGAATGTTATTTCAGCTGAAATTCCTGCAGTTAAAATCTTGAAATGTAGCATATCTTAAAAGTCTATAAGTGGGATGTATATATTTTGTACATAACTTTGTAAATTTAGAAGTAGTTTTTAGTTAGTCTTAGTGAGAAGTTGTGACTAATGTAATCATGTAATGATACAATATGTCAATAAATGTTATATAAACGTTATATATATAATATATAAACTTGCCAACTGCTCGTACACTCATCAGCATGTTGTTTTAATATTACATGGACAAATTTTGAATTGGAGATTTTATTAAAATAACAATAGCTAAAAGTAAGCCAATCCCCCACAAAAAAAAGATATCTTTACTATCAATTATTTTCAAATTGAAAATATAAATAAGCAAATGATTATGTTGAAAATATAATACTTCTAAATAATAATATTGTCGATATTAAAAACAAAACTACATGTATGTTTAAGTTTGTGAGTAACTCCCTGAAGTGAATTTATGACCATTAAAATGTGAACATTTGATTAATTGAAAGGTATGTAATTACAATTTAAAATATAGAAATTAATAGATCCTCAGGTGCTACAACATTCAATGTTTAATAATGTAACATACTTGGACTTGTTTGTCATTTCATGTGTAATTATCATATCTCCCAAAAAAATGTGTGAAGTATAAATCAAGTAATAACAGCTTTCTATAAGCTGCTACCTGTATAATTCTATTTTCGAAATGTAAAAATCATTTTGAGCAATGATTCTGAGTTTTAACATGACGTCGACAATGAATCAACATAAAACCGTCTGAACATTTAAAACTATTTTCTATTGTTGATTTATTTATTATTTGTATTGACTTTTACACTGACCAGAGGTGACCAGCCCAGAATAACATATACCCGGGAGCATATAGGCCTTCTAAATGTTAGAAAATCAACTGAGATGAGCTGACAAACAATTATGACACTAATGTATGCTATATATATATACTAACCTGAAGGTTTCTGTTAATGAGTTCTAATTTCTCTTCAGGGGATAGAACATTTCCTCCATTTTCCTCTGCCATATTGTATCTAATAAACTATATCTGAAAAACAGTGTTTATAGGTTAAATATCTGTTAATCAAAAGAGTTCTGTTTTGACCTCCAGTCAATTTAACTATTTCCACATATCATTTACATGACCAGGATCACAATGTACATGGTCAGAATGACCCTAAACATAGTGAAATAACCTTTTCAGCCCTTTGAAAATGCATCCTCCGATCACAAGGATTCAAAATCCAGAATATATTCTTTCTTTTTACCCCCTGCGATAAGCAGTTACCTTTTCCCTGATTTAGAACTCGCAATCTGATTGGCTGTCGCAACATTCCAACATAAATCATGTATAAGTCATTGCACATAATTAGATCACTTGATTCAGTTAAATCAAGCGCTTCCAAATTGGTTATAACAGGGGAAAGAAGGAGGTACGGATTGTGGACACCTGCTTAGGAGGATGTTGAAAATGTGAAAAATAGCTAAAAGTAGGAGCTAGGGAAGGTTGTGATCCTGGACCTGTAAATGGTATGCGGAACTTGTTGAATTGACATAACTCTGTTATCTTTGTTCAAAAAATGTCTAAAAATGCATAATTTTTTGTTACTTCCTGTTTCGTCATTTCCTGTTAAGTATCATGGCACCTTAACTGATGTTGAATTCTTGGAACCAATCCTCCATGGATCACAACAATGGCGATCCATGATGACCTTCGTTCGATTTGGATTGAATTTATCCATCATTTGCAGGTATTAGCTTGGATAATTTATCGTGCTATTTACAGTGAACAGGAACTATTTTTCTTCCTTTTGGGGGAGTTTGAGATATAAAAGCACAGATCCAGAGCCAGATCCAGCCCATATTGGTAGTAGCCTCAAAGGATTCATGGGAAGATGAGACTCGAGCCAAAAATGCTACATCAAAAAAATGACCACCCAAAAATATAACTCTCGTACTGACTTTTATTTTTTCCATCTGTCAGACATTGATTGATCAATATTTACCCTGTAATCTCTTCTTTATGTATTAGTTTGAATGGTTGCATGATATCCATTATTGACGCTGTAATTCAACCATTCCCAGGACATTTATTTCAAATTTTCAGAGCGTAAAGATAATGGAGTGCTTCGGTAATTTCCGGCAGTGTCCGATGTTGTTCGTCTCTCAAATTACGTCACATAGCAACAAACAGCCAATGAAAGTAAAGAATCGCACAGCCATCAAACCGTTGTTATTGTTTCTACGGGAGTTTAAAGAAACGTCATTGGACTTCTCGGTAATCTCTGATGTGACGTCATCCGGAGTGGCGTCACATTCTCAGAAAAGTCATTTGACTTCGGGAATGATCATTTGAACAACGGAGATGGCCAAAGTGCTCCATTAAATATACGCTTGCTTATTTTATGCTTTTATCAACAGACGCTTTATTGGATGTGTGGCTTTAGTGATTGGAGTTGAAGCTATCAACAGTACGCATCGTTTGAGGTATCACATGTGATATTTATTGAAAAACTGACTCCAAAATCCATAGGAGACAGGTTACCTGAAAAGGAAGATAGATATCATTCTCTTATCTAAACAAGGACTGAAACTGAGGCAAGTCTACCCTGGCTGAAATCAGCTCTGAAATAACAATTACTGCATGTCAAGCCGTCATTCAATGCTGATTTTGTAGAAAACAGATCTGTCCATCCTTCTACATGTGAGTTTTTCCCATAAAGATGCTTGATTAAGTAGAAATTCATCAAATTATACCCCTAGAATATCAAAGTTCAACTGTACATCAATCGCGTGAGGAAAAAAAACAAATCCATTCTTCACCTTCTGTTCACAAACCCTTCTTCTTCTTCTTGGAAAAGTTGTCCCTCATTTGACTAACAGCAAATGTGTATGTTTATGCAGCAATATAATGTTAGTTTAGAAAATGATTAATTACAATCTTACCTGTACTTCACAGAAACATCCCATAGCCGTAGGCAGCGGGGGTTCGGTGGGTTCGAACGAACCCCCGGTCAGGATTTCCCAAAATATCATTTTGCGGAAAAATGCATATAACCAGAAATATTAAATTACTGTGCTATTTGAAAGCTACATATATGAGCAGTAAATGATTTAATATTAGACCCTTATTTTGTTTAAAACATGTCATAGTGAAGTTACACTTCCCCCAAAACGTTTGGCAACCTTAGGCATTTCTTGGGACGTCCCTGGGGCTGGCAAGTCCCCGAAATCAATTGTGTTAAGTAATTAAAAACTTGTGAAATGAATTATTTAAAAGCGTATACCATTTATAAACAGAAGCATTTGTTCAAATTTATTCATTCTTTCATTTGTTGTGTATTTATTTACCCATCACTTTTCAAATGAAAATCAATCATTGCAAAAAAATGATTTTGTTTTTTCAGATACACTTCACTCATCTAAGAGATTGTATAGAATTCAAATTGTTATCGTTCCAGTTTACTTGCTCTCCATTTTCATGTTAATGTCATGATATGTTTAGCGAATAAATTATATAATAAAAAAACATTGAAAAATCTGAAAAATCATATGGTATTAATCTTCAAATAATGAAGGCCTAATTTGTTATCAAGCCGTCTGAACTTAACAAAATAACAGTCGCTTGTATTTATATATGATTTATATCCACTAAAACGTTTTCATTATCAATTGCGGTTGATCTGCTCCGGGGGACTTACCACTGAGCTCCGGGGACGTCCAAAGAAATATTTTTAACTTTTTAAAACAAAGCATAACCGAGACCCACTTATTTGAATAATAGATATTTTTATCAGTAATACGACTATCCCGGATAGTTTAAAAAGCTTAAGTAATCATAGAAGAACGATCTTTCAGAGTATATGGGTGTTTGCGTCAAATTCAATAACCTTGCATTTGATCCGAACTGGCTTCCAACAAAATTCTTGAAAACAATGATAAGCCATTGCATGAGGTGATTTATTTTGTCCTCGATGAAGTAGCTTAAGTTAAAGAATAAATTGTGCGAAATAGTTGATATTCCTTGGAAACAAATCGTGCTCCAGGGTCTTCCAGAAATCAGACGAAATAATGGTGGATTCGGGGCAAATCAGATTTCAGGATATGTATTCAGTAAAAGATTCACCGAAATATATTTTGATGCAGAAAATTAATTTTAAGTTGTTTGACTTTTTTACACGTTGCCTGTTTATTTTACTTTGTGAACATTAAAGTTACAAAGCTGCAAGGTCATTTTTGAAAATCATTTTTACGTCCTGTGTTATTTCAATGGGAGAGGTTTCTTGATAAAGCCTATTACTTTCAGTAAATAAAGACATCATTTTTGTTAAATAAAATTCAAATTCAATTGTCTACTTAACTTAATGAAGGTACTAAAATGAATTATATTTCCCCTCCCAAAATAGATTTTTCTTTACAAATTATGCATATTTAAGAATTCAAACCTAAAGATGCGTTAATACATAATCCAATGGGTTAGTTAGGATTGCCAAACTTTTGGAGGGAGTGTAATTACCCAAATGCGAGTAGGTAGTTACCAGTTTCACCACCAGGTGGCTGATTCGGGTCAATTAACATGGCAGGTATACAAGAAAGTTCCCTTAAACTTGAATATTATCAACTTAAGTAGCTCAATTTTCATATAACCCTTATGCGTCTGATACTTATACTAATGAAAATATGTCCAGTAAAGCAAAATATTATCTGTCCACTAAAAGAAAAGATATTTCATTTTTAGTGATTTTATAGCATGGGGTCTATGGGGAATCTCCCCGAGCTAGAAGTCACATTTTCAAAGAAAATTAATTTTTCAAAGTTGATTAACACTTTTTAAAACCACATTTCTAGATGTAATTTTAGATGTAGATTTCAAATATGATATTACTTTGACTGAATTTTGATTTTTAATGACGTAAATCAAGATTATTTCTACTCGCATCTGGGTTATTGTACAAATTGCATTATTTGAGGAACCCTAATGAAGGGGGGGGGGATTTGTGAATAACATAAAAATAGAACCCCCGGTCACCAAATCCTGGCTACGCCACTGCATCCTAAGTATGAAAATATTTCACTAAAAATACATGCTTCCATTTTGTCACATGTTCATAATAATTTACATATTGACCATGTGATGTTGACAGGGAGTGTAAACGCATCTAGCGTACAGGAAATATGTTATGATATTTATTAAGAAATTAGGTATGGTAATCATTATTAATTAAGCATTAAGTATTAAGCCCCCAACCCACTTCACAAAGTTCATGAAGTACCAAGGAAAGACCAAATATTAAATAAATTAGAAAAATTTGAATTTCCAAAAAAATCAAGTGGGCGATAATAGAGCCTCTGAAACATGGCAAAAGTGACATATTTTGTAATTTTCAATGCATACTCCCGATAATTATCTATCATTGTGTGCTTTCCACACCATATCAAACTAATATTATCTAAAAATAATGTATGTAATAAGTTAATGAAGGAAAAATTTAATGTTTCAGAGACTCTATTATCGCCCACTTGATTTTTTGGGAAATTCAAATTTTTCTAATTTATTTAATATTCGGTCTTTCCTTGGTACTTCATGAACTTTGTGAAGTGGGTTGGGGGCTTAATACTTAATGCTTAATTAATAATGATTACCATACCTAATTTCTTAATAAATATCATAACATATTTCCTGTACGCTAGGTGCGTTTACACTCCCTGTCAACATCACATGATCAATATTTAAATTATTATGAACATGTGACAAAATGGAAGCATGTATTTTTAGTGAAATATTTTCATACTTAGGATGTTTCTGTGAAGTACAGGTAAGATTGTAATTAATCATTTTCTAAACTAACATATATTGCTGCATAAGCATACACATTTGCTGTTAGTCAAATGAGGGACAACTTTTCCAAGAAGAAGAAGAAGGGTTTGTGAACAGAAGGTGAAGAATGGATTTGTTTTTTTTCCTCACGCGATTGATGTACAGTTGAACTTTGATATTCTAGGGGTATAATTTGATGAATTTCTACTTAATCAAGCATCTTTATGGGAAAAACTCACATGTAGAAGGATGGACAGATCTGTTTTCTACAAAATCAGCATTGAATGACGGCTTGACATGCAGTAATTGTTATTTCAGAGCTGATTTCAGCCAGGGTAGACTTGCCTCAGTTTCAGTCCTTGTTTAGATAAGAGATAATGATATCTATCTTCCTTTTCAGGTAACCTGTCTCCTATGCCAAAATCAAGGAAAAATAAATTTTCCGAAGATTGCGTGTCTTGTCCTTGAGTATATTTATTGAGCCTAGACACAGAAGAGGTAATCTGGCAGAGGTCCGTGTATAAAACTTAGATTTCAGCTCATTGTGAAAACTTCCGATGGGTGAGGTTTATTGATAGATCATGTAACATATACAACCTTGATTTGGATTGAATAACGAGTCAAATTATTCCACTTATGCATTAAAAATACCAACACAGTTGTATACTTACATATTATGTTGTTCAATATCCAAATGATAGTTGTTTAACTGATTTATCGTGTAAAATGATGAAATTTTTTGAAAATGTGGAGAAAAATTGTGCACTTCCGGTTTACATGTCCAACAGTGAGTTCTGGCCTGAGGTGATCCACATTTCGCGCACCAACAAATATTTGTAAGCATGTGAACCTACTCCTCTATGAAATGACAAGATCTACACAAGAGTTTGATATTTTGCATTTGTGATATTTAACACCTAGTTAACGACAGTTGGATAACGTAAATCAGTAAGACACAAATGCATCAGATTTACGCACGATCGTCTTATGGAAGTGAGGATCATCAAAGTTTATTCAGTTATGAGTTATATTAGTTATTTAGATCAATCAACAAACAATCAAATTAAAAATAAATATATTTACATGACTTTTTTGATTGTTTTGCTTCTGAAAAATCGATACGGTTATCATTCTTAGCGAATATGATATCTCATGTAAATTGCTGAACTTTAATATATTCGTTCGTTATTTTAATACAATAGATAACTTTTCAAGATTTTGAACTTTGCACTTTTTCATCTAATTTTCTCCATATTCTCTGAGGTAAGTAGATTTATCGCAACTCATTTGTATGCATGTTATTTTTAAATGTTCAGTTCCTAATTTGGATATTATTTTATGTTCATGTATTATTGCACTTCACCAAAATGAGGGCTAACATTTTCCCAAAAATCGGGCAAAAAATATTAGGCCTAAAGATAAAACACTTATTCTAGTGAGAAGTTCATATGGTTAAAATAACGAAATAATGAAATATTGACATGTTTCTACTTAGCAGTTTGTTCTATGTCATCCATCCTGCTAGGTTACATTGTGGAACGCAGCCAAACACGACACTGAAGGCAACAACATATCGATCTTGATCTTAGCAGAATTTTTGGAGATTTAGATCGTCCTTTTTGCAAGCTCACGTGACTCATTGTGTGACACGTGTCTGATCACGTGTTATTTGTCTGATCACGTGACTAGTTACTGTATCGATCATGTAACTAAATGACTTGTCACCCAACCATGTCTCCAAGGAAAACGGTAGTAAATATTTTGGAAAATGTTTTGCAAGCATTTGCTACTGATTATAGAAGGTCCAATTACGCAACGAACGAAACTGCTAAATTGTATTTCGTGCCTAACAGGCCCAGTACGCAACGAAAGAAACTGCTAAATTGTATTTTTAGTCTGCTTATTGATGTATTGATTCATAAACACCTGAAATGATGCATTCAAATAAGACCGCCTCCTAAATGAAAATACTACACATGAAGTGGTGAAAAACAATGAACTAAAGTTGAAAGATCGCAACGTTCGCTACATTGTTCTATTCCGGAAATCTCCAAGAGCTGCAAATGGGAAATTTTTTAGATTTAGATTTTATAACCTCAGAATACTGCCTTCAGTGTCGTGTTTAGCAGAGTTCCACAATGTAACCTTCTGTGAAGCAAAGTGAGAGAGAGTTAAAGGACAACTGAAATAGCTTTTCTCAACTTGCAGCTTCAAAAATGCGGTTTTCTCCATTGTAAGCCCAACGTAGAGTTCTTGCGATAGCCATTATAAAATAAATGTTAGATAACTGCTAACGGTCATAAATAACGAAACAAAACTAACTGATCAATCAAATTGGCCCCCACGTGATAAGTAACGTCATATACAAAATATAGCTTTGGTTTGTTGGTTCCTTAGTAATCACAACGTCACGGCAACCATAGGATTGTAGTGTAAACCAAAACAAAACATTTAGGCATTATGACGTTATGGGCCACGTGGGGACCAGTGAGAGATCACGTGGGGGCCAATAACGTCACAACCAATTCGAATATTGCTTATTAAGCAGCTATAACGATCGTTAGAGTGAAATAGTTTTCACACTACTGATGAGAAAACATGTCCAAATACATTTATCAAAAAATTATATTGATTCCTGTAGGTTAAAAATACCATTTCATATCTGCTTTAAGTACATCAGAATACATTCCTGCCATTATTTCTCAAAAGGCATGGCACGAAACTGGCAAAAGCTTAAAGTATGTCAGCATATCATTCTCATAAACTGTATATTGGGTTTTGGAGTACAGTAATGGGTTTCAGAGTGATAGTGTGAGCCTGTTCAGCTACTGGATAGCTAGTAATAGAGATACATGTACTTGAAATTCGATCCAAATAAGGATCCTCCGTCAAACTTTGACATATATGGGGTTGGTTACTTCCTCCTGGGATTATTTCGACCATGGCAGATAATTCATTTTCTTCAAAAAAGTTTCTTTTTCTCACCCTCTGTTCTGTTGACATCAGAGTTATTAAAAATTCCAAGTCTGGACGAGTTCATCTTGGCATGGGAAATAAATATCTAAAATTACAAGCAGATGTAACTGAAATGGGTGTCCAAAAGTTGTGGATGAATGGAGTTAGTTTAGCTAGGGGTACTAATAACTCGGGTATCTTAATTCACTTATAACACTTACTCATTGAATATTTTCAGTTGATGTAGCAGAGAACAAAGCAGTGAATCATGGGGTTGTGGGCCACAATGAAAACATGGGTGGTGTTCCACATATTGTTTGGATACGTATTTGTCGTCAGTGGACTAATTGTGAATTTTTTCCAACTATGCTCAATGGTTGTTTGGCCATTTGACAGACAACTTTACAGAAAAATCAACTGTAATCTAGTCTATCTACATTGGTGCCGTAAGTATGTTTTTTAATTATCTATACATTCATATGTCTGTCCAGGTGATAACTCAAACACTTTAAGTGACAGATTTAGTTTTGCTCAAGAATGTATTTCCAATATTGGTGCTGAATTCACATATGTTCTTATGTTAAAGATGAACGTTTTATACTGAAATAAAGTCAGAACTGTTGGAACTTTCAGAAAAAGCATTGAATGTTTGGAGCAAAAAATGTAAAAGTGAAAGAATATTTCCATACCTTACTCTCAAATCACTTTAATGTAAATAATTTTGGATCATGGAACAAAATTTTCAAACTCTGCACAGGGCATTGTGAGTCAAAATCCTTCTTCCATGTTGTATCCCTAAACAACCTTGTTAGGGTGTTTTAGAATAAAGAGGGGAATGTGAAAAAGTAACTTGATCCTTTTTTTTTAAATTATATTAATTTTAACATGTTCATGTTTTATTATACATTGCATTGACACAAATACCTGTTTACTCTACATGAATGAGTGACACTTCAGCAAGTGTATTCCCAATAAAAGGTTTACAATATACAATTATTGATCTCTCCAGAGGTTTACTGTCAAAATTATATCCCGAGACTGTAAACCGAGACCGTAGGTCGAGGTTGACAGTCGAGGGATATAATTTTGACAGTAAACCGAATGGAGAGGTCTATAATTGTTTTGTTAGTCCGAAGAATATCTTAGATTTTTCTGACCCTTGAAGTTGACTTGAAGTTGGATCCAGACCCTCGAGACGTTCATGTTGTATTTCAAAACATCGTTTGATGCCTTGAATTCAGACTTGGTAATGTCCATCTTAAAGATGTCATTTTAAAAGCAAAAAAGGCTCCAAAACGTAATAAAATATGTAGTTTGGATGTTCATTTATGTCTGTGGATTATATTTTATACCACAAACACTTATAAATACCTGAAATTTGCAATAAAAGTGCCCAAAAATTGTTGTTTCGAAATTCCCCATTTTTCCTGTATCGCGCTAGTCACGTGACCCTTACGCGTAGCAGGCAATGCCTAGTATTACAGATATTACAGTACATATTTCAACATGTTCAATATGGCAAACATCAGCGATTCTGACTCCCGGGTTCTGGGAAATGGCTATATATAAATCGGCGAGAGGGTGTTATTTAAGGAGGACAATTTAAGGAGGGGAAATATGTCCAAGTATGCCAGTAAAAAAGAGCAGATATGGACTTTAGACAAGTACTATGACGGAGAATCAACTAAAAAAATGTGCGTTCTGGAATGAAGACCCGTTGCCATTGACTGAGAATCCCAGCGATCCTATAATCCTACTCAGTTTGAATTTAGACGCGGAAAACAGGTTATGAAAACGGACTCTCTGCAAAGTTATCAAATTTAGAAAATATGGATCTTGTTTTTGAGTGGCTTAACAAGCATTCGGATACAAGACTTGGCGCTATCTCTTGTCAAATACACGCAGACTTGCAGTAAATTGGCCATTGCAAATTGCAAAATCAGATCGTCAAATTAATCGCTTCGTTTTTAAACGTATGCTTCATATCTTCATCCAAAACTTTAGGATTCGATAGAGATAAGTTAAAACTTGTACAGGAAGAAATGGGAGATCCTACCTTAATTTAGAATCGCTGATTTCTCTGGACAAATTCCGAGAAGAAATTGTTCAACATCGCGATCAGCTCAGACTAAACTTACATGTCGTGCATGTCACTCTGAACTCACGTGATAAAATACGGCATTTTGATTGGTTACTACTCGTGTTGTCATGACGCGAAAAACAATAGTAAACACTGAATATGTTAATGAACTGTCATATATGGAGCAATTGTCTTTCTGATTGGTTAACTTTACACGCCTCCTAAATGAATATAGCAGTCGTAGTAAATGATTCATTGATAACTCTGAAAGTGGGCGTGACCAGCTTTATTTTGACACCAAATTCAAGATGTTTCAAATAAAAATGGCCTCGCAAGACGAGGTTGAAATATCGGCAGTTTGATACTGATATGGTCTACGATAGATCAAAATTGACTGCCCCGCGTCATATGTCACGTGAGCCTATATTTGTTGAAAAATGAAAGAGATAGTGACACTTTTTAATCTTAAGTTAATACCAATATTACAAACACATATCTATTTTTTTCATTAAATATTTATTTCTTCATTATACATACATTTGTTTTACACTGCATTGATTTATTTTTGCAAAACCTTTGCTATTAGATCTTTAAGTGTCTCTCTGATGTATCGTGCCACTCCCCATTTAAGAAGCTGAAATGATTTCAACTTATAAAGTCCACCGTCTTTTTTTCTAATACCAACGTAAAACTTTTTCAAAAAATTATCTACATCTGCCACGGCAGTAAGTTCACTCAATGGAGTCAAATTACTCTCCTGGGCGAAGTCCACTAAAAGCTTTGTACAAAGTTTTAGATTTTTCTTCGTATTTTGACTGTCTTTACTCTCTAAGAGAATAATAATATCCTCATCTTCAACATTTTTGAAACGGCTAGTGCTAGCGGCGGCCATTTTATCGTCTCATAATGACGTCATTTTAGTGGAAGGCTGGGAATATTATTCACCGGCAATGCATTGCGCGGTGTACAGTTAAAATTATTCACCGCTCGTTGACCAATCAAAATCGAGTATTTCAACTGAGGTACTAACAATAAAAGTTGTGTGGTCACAGCTTATGTTAGTTCAGTTATGACCTCCTACCTTTTCATTCAACTACATAAATGAATTTAGATGTTGGATCTAGATAGAGACCAAATGAATAAGTGATACATATATCCTCAGAGGGACGTTTTTTAAATGGAAGAGGCAAACAGGAGGAGCAATCATAGCCTTTTATCAGTACCTTTCTAGGCAGATATTAGGGTTATGTACTGGGAGGTTTTTGATATGGGGTTTATCCAGAGGGAGATATGCATATCTACCTGAGGGACATTAGTATATATCTTGGTATCAAAATGCAATTTTAATGCTATTTTTAAAATGTTTTGTGAGTTACAATTACTGCACCTATACAGATGTGTTTTATTACGTAATCAGATATATGTGATCATATATGCTCTGAATGATTTACACGAGAATGTTCAAAAATGCAGTAAAGCAAGTGGTACAGTGGTATACCTTTGGTACAGTTCCTAAAAGTGAGAGGTGTTCCACTTTCAGAGCTGTCCCATTTTACAGGTTTAAACTTACTTTGAAATTGCTGTGAAATTTCAGAATTGACAGCAGGAGCCGCTTGGTGGTCTGGGAGTACAAATACAGTATATATGGACCCTGAAACCTTTAAACTCGTAGGAAAAGAACATGCTTTAGTTTTAGGCAACCATAAATATGATATAGATTGGTTAATGGCTTGGTTGCCTGTGGAGCATTTGCGAATGTTAGGCGTGAGTAAAGTACTTCTAGAAGCTGACAATAGGTGTCTCTAGTTATGGTTACCATAGTTTCACTTCCTGTTATTATAGGTTTTATTTTAGGGAGTTGTGTAGATGTTGGGTTAAAGCTATGACTACTCAACACCCCTCCCTAAGAAATGTTAAAAAGTGTATGCTAATGAAAAAATGTTTAGGAATGGCACAAAAAGAAAAAAGGTGTCGCATTTGATACTTTTACTGTACCCCATCATCCCAAATAAACTAGAGACACCTACCCTCAAATGTCATCAATGTTGTATAAAGAGAAAATAGCATTTTGAATGATTGTATTCTTCTAGAGCTAGCCTTCATGGCACAATGGTGGAGTGGCAGTACATGCGACCTTTTCGCAAGTTTTGAAGATTTCAAATATTTTGGCAAAGAGCACAGTATGGCTATTATGAACCACAAATGTGACATCGACTGGCTCATGACATGGATTCTTTGTGAAAGGTTCAGAATCCTGGGAGTGAGTACGATAATAAGAACACCCAGCTGTCGCCGCTGTTCCATTTATTTAAAGACCCCTATTACCTTAGAATGGAAGCGAAGCACTAAATTATTTGTAGAATATAACAGAATATTTAGAATAATGATTAGACTAGAAGTAGCGTACTGTACTCCAGGTTATATGTGTGTATGTCAATCTTTGAACTTTTCAAGTTTTTGTAATAATTTTTAACATAAAAAATTATTGCATTAGGATTATGTTTCCTGTGGGCTGTGAAATGTGCTAGAAATGATTTTAAATCAAAAAGTTTTGTGTTACTGGCCTAGTTTTGTAAAACTTTAAAAAATTCTGAAGGGTCACAGGGTTCATCAAACAAAGTTAGAAAGTTGCTTATTTCGATAAAATGTACAGTTAGTAGTCAAAATTGTTAAATATTACCTGAAGTACAGTATAAGTAGTTGAATAGAATACCTCAGACATTTGCTTACTTTATATTCAGATAAATCTGCTTCCATGTAAAGTAATTTTGGGTGTCTTTAATTTCACCTAATTTCACTTGGGATTTGGTATCACAAATTGTTTGGGATTCTAAATTGCCTTACTGTTCTTTGGTTTGTGTTCCAGCTTCACTTTCTAACATAAATTCAAAACAATTGGATGTGATATTGCTTTTGGATTAGACATGCTTTACAATTCTTACTTACTTTTATATAATATCAAATGGATATTAGATTAGACCATATAGAATGAGTAATATCGCTAATTCAAGTGCATTTAGGTCAAAAAGTAATAACTTGGTTTACGTTGAATGTCAACAAAAAACCATTTAAGGATGCAGTACCAGGTCAGCGTAGAAAAAGTTCCAGACATTAGATTTTGCTCATGTTTTTTACAATGTATCACTATAATGTTATCATCATCCAAGTGCAATATGAAGAGGATTGACCGTCTGGTAATTACAAAATAAAAACATTATTTTACCCACCCAAAATGAATCTTTTTACTTTTTTGAGTTTTCAATAGAGCTGGCACCTTTCGAACCCTGATTTTCGTATCCACTAATTGCGACTCAAGAACAAGTTTTCCCATAAAAGTGAAAGGGATAAAATATGCTTGATAAAATGTTTGCAATTTAATTCTTTTCTGGAAACACCATTATCAAAATAAACTATAATTTTTGAATAAGACTAAATGCGAGAATGACGTTCTTGGGAGCTAGCTTTCTCAAACCGGAAGTCAAACCTGCGCAAACAGACGTGAAAACCGACCCGGTACTGCATCCTTAATGCTACAGAATTGTTGTTCTAAAAATTAAGAGAAAACAAATTTCAATTTATAAAACCATGAGATTTTGTTGCATTGTACATGACAATAGAAATCAAATGAAAACATTCTAAATTATCAAGTACATGCACAAATATCACTTTAATTGCCTTAAACAAGATACAGGTACATGTGCATCTATTGCAATCTCACATCTAGAGTTCAATGTCTCTCAAATTGAGATAATTTTACAAGTTCTGTGTTCTGAGTTCTGTTGTCTGATGAGTGAGTATTTTCATGATATTTCACCTCATGTTGGACTTATATCCTTGGTTTATATTTTACAATAAACTTTTTATCTTTATTCTCAAAAATAATATTTCATTTGAACTCTTCTTTAGGGAGTCTAGGATTCCTCTTCTTAAGCTTTTGGCCTACTGCTTGGGATATGGATTTTAATATTAATCACATCACTTGGACTTCTCTCTGATCCTATGCCAATGCTTTGGGACCTGTCATTTTGAAATTTTAATCAAAAAATTTAAGTGGTATGAATGTCACACTTTTGTGCTGTAAATACTTAGTCAGATATTAACTTGGTTAAATGCTAAGTTGAATATTAGTTTTGATAATCCCTGGATAACAATCATTACAACCACAAATTACTTATATCATTGCCTTCATGAAAATGACTTAACACTCTGTCTCTTTACTGAAATTGGGTTTCCAAAGATATCATGGCTGAAAGTGCATCTATGCTTCGGCTTCCACCTCAAAGTAAACCTTGGTAGGTGCTTTATAATATCATATACTCATGAATAAAAGCTCTTCATACTCATATATAAAATCAACCACTGTCAATTAACATGACAAAGAGTTGTATTTTATGTTTGTAAACGTCTTCATTTACAAAAAATAGTCTTGCCTCAAGCCTGTGTCCCCCTGTGTAATTCACCTTCCCAACAATACATAGTCTTGTTGTGTTGTGTTGTGTTGGGAAGGTGAAGTACACAGGGGGAGTGGGGGGTTACACGGTCTTGAGACAGAATTAACAAAACCCTAGGAAATACATATGAATAGTTTATGGCTAATTCTAGAGTCTTCATGAACCACATTCATGAATATTCATGAGGATATTCACAAACATTCATGAACTATTGACCCACTCCTGCTCCCCCTCCCTTTCTTCTACTCTCTCATATTTTGACCTTTCACAATAAGATAAAGCTGAGCTGAAGCTGGCTTCCATAAAATGGGCATCATTTGATGAATAGCATACTCTTGAAAAACAAAACATCATGAAATGGATGATTCAAACAAAATGCTATATTCTGTGTTGTAGAAGTGTTGTTGTTGCACAATTAATATACAGGTTGTTTCAGGAAAAATGCACCCAATGCATATCTTTTTAAGCAATGGAGCTTGAAAAATCGTTTTTTTTGGCATACATATTATCTTTCAGGGTAAGAATCATATATCTACTTATGACTGCACACATGTCATTACCAACATTACATAAAATGTGCAAGCCTGAGAAAAGTGGTAAAAATTTGTGCTCTATTTGTTAAAAAGATGTGCATTGTTTGGTTGGTTGCATGTTTTGAAACACCCTGTACCTTGTGAATCCATTGAATTGATTGCACTGTGTTACTAACACTTAACTGTCACTGCTTTAAGCCAAGTAAAATATCAAAAATAATACAATAATATGTACTAATGTTGTAAATATGTGTTATAATATTAATGCAATATAATGCAATGGCATGGATTATCTTTAGAATAGCCATTTTGTAAGTCTGTTGAATAGCAAAGTAACTGTAATGTAATGTTGTAAATGAACAAAATTGTATATGCATGTGTTTACCTGTCTATGTCAAATCCTGAGAGATCTTGCGAGGTTGCCATGGTAAATGAAAAGTCTGAGAATCTCTGACCTAGATAAGTCAGAAAATTTCAGAATTTCTTTAGAAATGGCTTACATGGTCAATTGTTTAATGTGGAGAAAAAACAGAGAATTTTAAGTGATTGAAAGTTTGAACAATTGAAAATTTGACCAAAAAACTAAAAGGTACTTGAAAATAAATACATCTAGTCAGCTAATTATTTGTCTTTTTTACTTTTTGTCAATGAATAACAAAGCATTTGGTCAGGGAACTAAATGCTTTATTCAGAGAAAAGAAGAGGAATTTTGAAATGTCTTGGCAACCCTGGCCTCCCCCTGTTGTTTTTAATAATTTAATAAAAAGCTTAATTTTATGTTACCACCACAAGTGGTGACCTGTGAAATATTGTTATAGTATCCAACTTTTTTCGTGGCAGCCCTTGGCAGTTGGTGTTTTGCGTCTAACAAATGGCAGGTGGTGACATTTTGCATGTTAATACCTTGTATTAATTTTTTATGTTATTGACTATAATTTTTTGCATGCATGCACAATTGCACATTCACTCTTCAATTTGTATTATGGTTTCTAACTGGTTTAGTAATTTGCTCTTTCAGGGATCAAAGATCTATGGAAAGGAGATGTTAAAATATGTACCTCTCATTGGTTGGGCTTGGTATTTCTCTGAAAGTATATTCCTTAAAAGGCAATGGGAGAAAGATCGAGAAATCATCAAACATGACATTGGAAAACTATGCGATTTCCCTAAAGATTATTGGATGACTGTAAGTGTCTCTACATGATTTAAAATTCTTTCTTTATAGAAGAAATTGTTGTTTGCCTTACAGACTGACAATTGTGAAATATATCAATCATGGAATTACAGTACATGTACATTACTTTGAGCTTATATATTAAGTTTGCACATATCTTGCATCTCAATCAAAATTATTGAAAATCGATGATTTCATTTGTTATTAAAAATAAATTTTTAATGACTGTAGCATAGGTGCAACTTGAAATATGTTTATGCAGGTGCTTTGAAATTAAAATGTTCTATTAATAGGGATACATTTTTGATGCAACCTACTCCTGTGATGAACTGTGAATTTATCATTTACACCAGATGCGTTCATGGTTTCATTTGATTTTTATGGATGTCAATGCATGTACATTATATAATCTCTCTCCAATGAGAAAAAATGGCCAAAAAATTGCCAAAGGTATAAAATTCTTAAACACTAATGTGTAACCAATACTGTATTGTAAAATGTATGTTTACCATGTAACTGTATTTTAATTGTTTTTGCAATTGCTTTAACATGTTTTTTCTTTGAAATAAAAAAATTAAATAAAAAAGAAGATAAATCAAGGTTAAATCCAAACCAACATTGCTTTCTAGATTCTATTATTCCCTGAGGGAACCAGGTTCACTGATAAGAAACATGCCGCCAGTATGGAGGTGGCCCGCAAGAAGGGTATGCCAGAACTCAAGCACCATCTATTGCCTAGAACTAAAGGCTTTGTTCTCTCCATGTACGGATTAAAGGGAAAAAGTAAGTTAGAAATAAATTGCCGTCATCTATGTACTCAACAGCTATCACAGTATGATATTTAACTAAAGCTTATCATGGACTTACTACAGTGACAGAAAACTAACATGATGGGTGCATTGTAATGTAGACTCTGATAGGCTATTTGGATTTTTCAATTAGTCATCTCCATAGTACACATTATCTCAAATTTTTCCAGCTATTTTTAATGAATTGTGGAAAAAATATGAAAATTAGAATTCTTTTGTGCTTTAATGTATAATTACACACCAATTCTTTATCACAAAAATTGTCTTCTCTTTTCAGTTCCTGCCATATATGACTGCACTATAGGATTCAGGAAAGATGGCGCCCCACCAAGTTTTTTCAGTATTTTAAATGGTAAAGCCTGTCGCTCAGAAATGTATGTCAGGTAAGGGACATTGAAAATAATAAATTGATATTATATGAATGGCATTCAACTGAGGATAAATAATTGTTGCTCTGAATTTAAGTCAAGGTTTAATTACGGTAACTTTATTAAGATAGTAAGGACACTGACTGTGAACCAGTGCATATTAAAACCATATACCTGTAGATCGTTAATATTGAAAAATAGCAACTCCAATTTTCTGCTTCAGCATAAACTTTTTAACAGTAAAGTTTTTAACAGTATTATGTGTGTGTGAAGTAATGCTGGTTCACACTTTTCTTGAGACCAATCCAACATTTCATTCAGTTAGTGTGATGGCGAAAATATTTTCAAACATATCACTCACATTTGAATAATTGTGTGTATAACAACAGCTTGTGGATTACAATGTATTTTGAATTGCCACAATACACAATGCTTAAATCCTAGGTTCATGCAGTTTATATATTATGGAACTAATTGTTGTTTTATTTTAGACGCTATGCCACTAAAGACATTCCAACTGACACAGAGGAGGAGTGCGCTGAGTGGCTTCATCAGCTCTTCAGAGAGAAGGTAAATTAAAACAGCTGTCAAATTAAAGCAGTATTGTTTTGAGATGTTTTAAGAAAATATTTCCAATTCATAGTTACTATTGTAAATGCAATTATTAATAAAATCTGTGGTCAAAATCAGAGGAATTGAAAGCTGGGATTAACGTATGCAAGTATGATCCTCCCAGTTGAGGGAAATAACTTTGTATCTATTAAGTTTTTAAAACTAAGTAGTAATTAAGGCCATTTACACCTGCCGATATATATTCCAGAACTTTATTTCTACAATGTAATAATCTACTTTTTATTCAGGATGAGCTGTATGATGGCTTTGCAAAGAATGGTCACTTCACAGGGCCAAAGCATGACCTCCCACGTACCCCTTATGACCTCATTATCTGGCTTACATGGTGTGTCATACTGTCAGTACCTCTCTTACATTACCTGATGTCTGTGTTCTTAATAGGAACATATTTACAACAAGTTACAGTTATTATAGTATGCATTCTAGGTAAGTGTCCACTGCAAACAGCAATATCAATGAATTGACTGTACAGCAGGAATTCCATGGTGTTATTTCAATGGTTCTTTGCATATTTGTGTCCTGCTGTGATAATTCATTGCATATCGGTAAATCAATTCAAGATTTACTGAAAACTGCCTAAAAATGCACACAGTCTGTTTGTAATGTAATGATATATCCTGTTTTATTAATTAAAGAAATGCAGCAACGTGTAACTTACATGTACCATAGCAATAGTCTAAAATCCAAACATTCTGTTCTGAAATCCATCATGAAAAAATGCTCTCTTAAGCAGATCGATAAATTCCAATTCCAAAATCTAGGCTATAAGACAAGTGTTTCTCATATTAAGATGTTTTAAAGCTAATACTTACTAGAGGGAGGATTTTGATCCTTTGATGCTTTTTGAAATAGTCCAAACCATGAATCTCCAAGTTGATGGTGTTGAAGCTAACGTATCATTTTTCTTAATAATTGCATTTTAGATGTTGGAAGTTGTGTCACATTGACCTACAGAGGTTTATTTCTCATATACTTCCAGGTGCAGTGGGTATCCGTGCATTAATAGGAATCACAGAAACTGAGAAAGGTTCCGACTATGGAGCAGACAAGAAAATATCATGAGCAAAGCACAACACTTCAGGACAGTCATGCTTTATTTAAAAAAGATGTATCAATTTGTTTAGTATTCTTATGTTGAGACAAATTAACTAGGATTTCAGAAATGTCACATTTTAGAGTAAAATGCCAAGTTGAATGACAGGATATTTTATGATACTGTTGTGTTATTTTATATTTATTATAATTAGTCTGAGCATATCATTCACTTCAGATCAATATAACCATCATAACCATTTTATTAAGATAAAGTCATAGTACAATTTTATATATGCAATGTGGTCATGCATGACTTTGTTTTATACTGAATGAAAAGGACAATTTGAGGAATATTTCAAGGATGACATTCATATGATGTAATAAGGAGCAATGTCATTTTATACTCAAAATATCAATGCAATTGTATACCAATATATATATACAGGGTGTCCAATAAATAAGGTAAAAGATATTGTAACTTTCCTAATATTGCACCAATCTTGATGAAATTTTCAGAGTTTGTAGTCCAAACCTTTTTACCTTTATTCTGTGAATTTAAAGCGTCTTCTATTTGATTGGCCAGAGTTGTGGTTGCTATAGCAACCGAAACAACAAAAAGGCGGGGCAAGTTTGTTTACGTCACAACTTTTCAAAACATATTTATTCTTTCTGGTAGCTGTATTCATACTCCCGGGTCTATAACTACCACAAATACAATATAAAAACAGTCCCAAAGTCCCATTGTTTTATGAAAATAAGCTATTCCACATAATGTCCATCTCTAGCTATACACTTCTTATGCCTATTCACCCACTCTCTAAACACACTTTCAAACCCATTCTTGCCCATTTCCTGAAGTCTTGCTAAGACATGTGATCTGAGTTCACACACAGCTATGCTCACTAGTGAAACTATTAGGGCACTGGGGCTACCCCTACCATGCTCACCCTCCTTATTCCTCTGACCTTGCACCCAACGACTTTTACTTATATGCAGAACTCAAGCGTGACTTGAGAGGAAATAAATTTGGAAGCACTGATTTTGTATATATACTCGCACAGGGTGGGCCAAAAAAATGCCATTTTTTTTCAAAATGCTATAACTTTTTAAATTTTTGATACAAAATCATAATTCACATACCAAATGAAACTTGAGGTTGTTATCTAGCCATTGATCATGAATTATACACTTTTATTTGAATAAAATATGTCACCAGCGTCTCACTTAAACATGTGGTGTGCCATGAGAAATAAGCATAATTTGCATAATGGTCCTAAACTGATACGCCCTGATGACCGCAAGCTAATAGCCTTTATTCAAACCCAAGTGAGTATAGGGCATGGGGAGGTCTCCAGGAGATGGTATGAAGGCACCCGATCTAAAAAATTGCTTAACTAAAGCTGGCAATTAAGACACATTGAAAAAAATATAGCTAACATTTCATTGATACTGCTATATCAGCAAGGCGACTAAAACTAATATCTATCATCAAATGGGGTGGCGGACCAATTGAACTCCTCTTTTTAGATCAAAAATAATCCCAGTTGAAGGACTCATTACATTATATTATTACTGAGAACCCTTGGCACTATATAACTGCAAAATGTGGGGTATGTTGGTTTGAAAATAAAAAAGTTATAGTGTCTTGAAAAAAAGTGGCGTTTTTTTAGCCCACCCTGTATATAAGAAAGATAGCACAAAGTAAAATTATTATGAATGTACAGTTAGTTATAAAACCTATTGCTTGCTAGGGATTGGAGAAGTGTAGAGTTTTTGTGGGATATTTTAAGTTATTAAATCACTCTCATATTCTCCTCTCTCTTTGATTGGTCAATGTTCTACACATGACTAAAAAATAACAAGTGATATTCGAATTAAGCGAATTAAATGATTTTCACCAATCATGACTTAGTCCAGTGTATATCCCAATAGTACATTGTTATTATTCATATGACATTAATTTGTTATTCCATTAATGTGAATGAGGAATATAACAGTGAATAATGAAACAAATATTTAATTCAATTTTCGGTGAATACACAGGTATTCACCTCAATAGAATTAAATATTTGTATATTATATATTAATCTGTTAATTGGTACTTCAGAATATTTACTCTTGATTAGTACTTTACATATGGGATGTAATTTACAAATAACACCAACTGCATTTATTAGAGGGAAAATATATCAAGAAAGCAATCTTACTTTAAGATACAAAAAAATCAGGTACATGTATATCCTATTTGTTAAATTAGGTCAACATTTGAATTGTGTAATTCTTATTATTTTGTTATGAGAATGAAGATAAATGTCAAAATGTTTTTCTCATCAGAACCTGTTTAAGTGTTCCATTTACAGAGGTTCATAAACATGGAGTCAATGGACCGCGGGACTTTTAAAAACCTGTTCCACTTGTGAGGTGTTCCACTTACAGAGTTGTTCCACTTAGCAGTTTCTACTGTAGACTAATTTTATTATTTTACATTTAGGCCTTGTATTGTGTAGTATGAGAATTCCTACTTCATATGATTCTGTGCTATGACATCTGTTTGTACAGGGAATCATATAATGCCATTCTGATAAGTGTGATTGATGTATAGGCGAGTTTGTTTTTAGTTATGAACTATTGATTCATGTACATGTCAAGCTGTATAATCATTGGATATGTTCAATATTTTGTTATAAAATTGATATTATATGGCTAGATTTTTGAAACTGTATCTCTAAAGATACTTATAAATCTTGAGTAATTTCAAAGATATTTTAAACTATAAATCTTTAGATTAAATTTAATTGCATGGAACTGGTAGGGGCATATGTCTAAAGTTGATGGTGTTGTTTTCTCAACATTTCTTTTCAATTCCATGAATTAAAATGTTAATGCAACATGTAGTTGAGATAAACCTCAAAGGAAATAATCACAGAATATTTATGCATGTTAAACAAGTAAATGTAAATGTATTTTAGTATCTTGAGAAAAATGAACCTCCTTTGACAGATATCATTGAGGAATCATGGGAGTCAACATTCCTTGCCTAGTACTAGTATAGTATTATCAAGCCTAGGACAGCTCTTTGACTCTGCCTGATGAACAATGTAATACATAGAAGTGTGCAATGATGTACATTGTTTGTATATACATCTACATATGTAGAGACAACTCATTAAGCTAGGTTTCTTTTACCACCAATTTGGGCATATTATGATTTTTCAGTTATGTTTCTTTTAGGCCCTACCACTTTGAGGTCACAATGAGTGGAGTTAACATGATTGTAGTTACAATGAGTAAATTCAGTATTTGTTTCTTTTACCACAAATTTGAGCTATATATATTGTTTTCATGTCCTTTCTACTGTTAGAATTTTCACTGTGATTGCTTAATGTTATGCTGTAATGTCATATTTTGTATAATATTGCACCAATAAAATATTTATGATTATAAAGTATATATTTGTTTTGATAAAGACATGAAGAATACAAATGGCAGGCCATAAGTTGGTTTAAGTCTAGCTTTAAGCCATTGCGACCCCACCACTACTTAACTACAAGCCCTCACACACAAGTGGGTAAAGAAAATAGACTGGCCCTTGTTACTTGACAACTGGGAGGAGGCAAGTAGATCTATACATGGCAAACTTTTATTTGAGACTTTTATACTCCTAAGGTCTTCCAGTGCACTTTCTAACCCTCTCAAAGTCTCAATACCCTAATTAATTCAACATGTTAAGTCCATTTTATGTCCCTTGAAGCTGTTGTCTATGGCCATGAGTCATGGTATATGATTTTTAAAACAGGTCATTGCACTGAACGGAAATGTTCTTCAAATAGGATTCCCAGGGTATTCCCCACAAGTAATGACGTCACATCTACTCCAGAAAGTAACAGAGCGGGAGTACTAAAAAGTCTAAGTGAAAAATACAATTATTTCTCAAGATACGGATCACTGAATAGTCCAAATCTTCAACAACTCGAATAACAATATATGAAACAGCCATACGGTGAATTACAAGATCAATATGGCAGTAGAACGCATCAAATTAGACCAAAAGAAAAGAGGTTCTCTGAAATCAGAAATGTTGAGAAGAAATTCAAGGAGAGGTTCCAACTTTTTGCTTGGTAATGAACAACGTTCGGGCAGTTTAACTGACAGTATGGTTCAAATAATAAGCAAGTTGAGTAAATTCTACGCTGAAGCTATAGGCAGCAAAAACACCTTCAGAGTTACAGCCATTTTGCCGGATGGTACCCTCAGAAAGGTGAGTTTCAATTTTTAACCCTTTGAGTTTGACATTTGCATGTAATTCAGCTCTCCTTATTATTTTCACAGAATCTGTATCTGATGAGAATTTATGCAATAATATGCTATGAATATTGATCTACTCTGTGATTTGTGACAATATTCATTCTGCTGTCAAAAGGGAAGTTACCAAGGATGTGTGTGTGTGTGGGGGGGGGTATTTGTAAGGCAATACATATTCAACTTTTTAATCAGAGTTTATGATACAACCAATAATATTCCAATGCAGCAGCCATGCAGGCATTATAATGCACAACGTTGAAAATGATGTTGCGCTCAAATGAATGGAGTGTGCAAAAGAAAGACAATTTTACAGCATTAACATGATGTACAGAAGAATGGAGAGTGTCCAAAAGTGAACAGGCTCAACTAAGAGTTTTCTCTTAAATGTGATTATTTGGACATTATCCCTAATTAGGAGATGGATATTAAATTCTTAGATATTTTTATGTTCAATATCCATGTTATCTGTCAGTCATATGCACTTGTTATTTCTTATTTCAATGTTGCTAGAAGATTGAAATTAACATAACAACATGGGAGAGGAATTTTGAAAAATTCTTATTTTACTTGAGGTGAAAGGGTTAATAAAACTCAGAGATATTCATATGAAGGGCAATGAAATCTGACAACAACTTCAAAATTGCAGATATGAGCATGCCAAATACACACTTCAAATCAATTTTATAGCTACAATAATAATTAAACTTATCTAAATTACTAGGAGTTTAGACCTATTTTAGCTCAGATCACAAATCAAATTGCAAGTAACTATTCTGTAACCAGACTTAAGTAATAATGATGAGATTTCTAGCTCTTGTTCATGTTGTCAGATACAATTTCTTGTTATGAATCATGAAATATTATGTCTGAGATTTCTTTTGCAAATCTCATGAAATCTTATATCATTATCTTTTTTTCAGTTTTCTAATTGAGCTAGAACATTAACCTCCTGCTTTAACCAAATTTTCAGTTTATGTAAAAATAAAGAAGCTGTATTTCCAGGGTTAACAAACAAACAAGTAATAACTTGAGGTTTTAATAATTTGAAGTTTCTCTTTTGAGTGTTATTTCTGGTCAATGAGTTTATATTTCTCATAAAATAAATATATGGTAATCAATAAACAATTTATGGCAAACAATATATTATCGCATTTTCTTCTTGTTATAAAAGCAGAATAAACAAATGAAAACAAGAGGCAAAGTAATTTGAAACAGTTCAAAAGTTCCTAAAAATAACAGGCGATGTTTATAAAAAAATGAAGCATAAAAATTGCCTTTTGTTAGGGCTTTAATGAAACCACTAAGACTGGCTGTTATAATGAAACAGAATATATTTTCAATTTCGATATATTTAAGAACAAAGTGTATACCGATCACATATTGATGGATGGGCAAAACAAGATAATGGAAAATAAATGGTATGTTTTTGTTATACTCAAAAACCAGAACCCATAACGTTTTCCTTTATTAGCTTTCCATTCATGAATTCTTCAAATTACATTCATGTTTATTCTTACAAATTAGAGAGAAGTTTATGTGATGGGTTTGAAAAATATAATTCTCTTAATGTGACATGTAGACAAAAATGCAAGTAATCGGTGTTTCATTATTTAATCTAACACGCGGAAAAGTAGGATAATAAAAAGTATACTTTATACAAGGGCGAGTCAATTGACCATGACTTTCTATGGTTTAATGATCTATGGCAAAATAATGTTAGAATAAACATTGGGTCAAGTAGTTCACCCAAGTTGACTATTGCTCATATTCTACTTTCATTACTGAGGCTACTTTTAAAATCATCAAGTTTTTGTAATGTTTTCTGTCAACAATCTCTTCCTTGGATAAAGTGAATGATCCAGTCAATTAAAAAATCATCTACAAGTTATCAGAAGTTCAAATCTAACTTTAGATTTGATATTTCACCTTCAATGACCTACTCAGGTTCAAAAAAGGTCTTTTTTCAACTTGCTTCAAATTGACCAAATTATTTTTTCAAAATCGTCAACAAGTTCTCAGAAATTCAAATCTGACTCATAATATTATGAGCAACTAGGTGCTGACATTTTGTCATGTTAATGCCTTGTTTTATAATACTGTAGTCACTTCTAATAAATCTGTTTTGGTGAACCAAGGCAAGCACTTGGAAATGTGAGCAATAATATCTGTTCTAACAAGTGACATAATAGCCTTTAAACTAGATTGACTTATTCCTCTTATTTCATATTTTTGGGAGAAAACCCCTAACCTGAGTGACCACCCATATTCAGTTTTATGATCTATCTCCTGTCAATGAGTATTGCAAAGTAATTTCTTTTTCATTCACTCCCATTAAAATCTATGGCCATATTTGACAAATGTTAAGTTATGTTATGAAACGTTGCACCAGGTTTTGATGAATTATGTCCAATGATGTAACAATGGTCATCGCAGTAGACTCTCCAGAAATAAATTATATTTTGATTCCAGTTATTTTTTCATTTTTGGTATTTTAACATATTTTGAGTTATATTCTTTTAAACTCAGACAGTGAACAGGCCCTTAACCAGAGGGGGATTCAAGTCCCCTGGCCAAAATTTCTTTCAAAATCATTCTTAGCACTTTTCAAGTGATTTTTGGCCAGCGTTTTCTATTGTGAACCCCCTGGATTTTTGTGAAAATGGACCCCCCTCACAGCTCTTGGTCGAAAGCTGTCTATGGGTCTGATGAACACCTATAGACTTGCAAGTAAATGCCATCTTTACAAATAGGTGTATAGCTGTTTTATAGATGGCAGTCTTATCATAAAGTCTAACTCAGGAAAAATAAATAAATAATTTATTTATTTAGAATAAACTTTAATTTTTTACTGCAAATAGATATATAATTTAGGTGCCAGGGTTACTGGACTACCGGTTCACCAACGTATGCCTATTTCAAGTAATTTTAGGAAAACAATTTTCATGTAACCTTTGTGAGTCTCATAAATATATAATTTAGAGCATGTTTGAAATAAATTAATATTATAAGAAAGTAGGTTTCACTTTTCATGACATTATAGTATGGGCTCTATAGGGAATCCATCCTTAGAAATCACAATTTTAAAGAAAATTAGAATTTCAAAGCTGATAAACAATTTTTAAAACCTCATTAATATAAATGTAATTTTGTAGAGTTCCACTTCCATATATTATCACTCTAATATTTAAGTGATATATTTAAGGAATAAATAATGATAGGCCATTCAATATGGTGAAATTCAGCACAAGTTGGACAGAATGTTGTCAGAGCACGAACCGAAGGTGAGTGCATTTGTACTAACATTCTGTCCAACGAGTGCTGAATTTCACCATATTGAATAGCCTATCATTATTTATTCCGATTCAAACATAAAAATTAGTAAAAGCTGTGTCTGTGGAACGGGCATGAAGGAAGAATACGCATGCTGTCAAGATTCTGAAGTCTGCCGGAAAAATTTTAGAATTTGTTTGGGCTGTTCTATTTTACTCCCCGTTTTAGATTTTATACGGTGTATGCAAACTGAAGTCAGCCATAGTTAAATAGTTGCAGTAGTTATGGAGGGAGTAAAAAAGAACAGCTATCCCCGGACAGAGCCCCAGATGTGCAGCTGAGATGTGACGTCACTCAAAACAATGCAAATTGCAGATTGAATAGAGCATGGTCGTGCATCTATGGAGAATTAGAGAACGTTCTATATTGGCTATGCTGCATTCTGATTGGTTGAGAAATTTGAATAGAGCACGGTCATGTTTGAATTAATGATGAAAATCAAGATTATATCTGCTGGGATCCAGTGTTTTGGGTAAATACATACTTTTAAAATGAGATATGTGTACTCATATGAATGATGTATCATTTTACCATATTTATCTCTAGATTTTGTGTTATCTTAATCTTCCTATTAGTAATATACCATTTTATGGTTCAAACGTCACTACAATAGATTATTATAGCAATAACTCTTATCGTTCACGGGTCAAAATGATGCAATGTACTCCTTATCATAATTGACACCAAAACAAAGTTAAAGGGAGAAAATTTCATATTTGCTAGATTATTCAATTGAAATATCTTTAAAAAGAATGGATACTGTGATTGAACTCTACCTCTTGTTGATTCTTAAAAGAAGTATTTCATATATTTTTCAGGTATACAATAGCATGACCAATGTCTTTTAGGTTTTCTCATTTGAAATAACATATCAGTGTTCCCATGCTTGTCCCAAAATGTTGTGCCACATTTTTATGTCACCTCCTGAAATGGTGAAATATTGTTATACATGTAGTCTCCTTTCTGTGGATGGTGTTATTTAACAATTTGCAATCACTTACAGGGTGGTGACATGTTGTCATGTGAATGCCCTTTATGCTGTTTATGAATCATTTTCAGTTTATCAGTTTGTGGAAGCCAAAAGGAAGAACTGTTGTGATTACTATATATGTAGCGCGAAAAGTTTTCATAACAATGTATATTTATGTATGAGAAACTTCATTTCGTAAACATGATTTTTGGAATCAATAAATTGTTTAAACACCATTAGCCTTGAGTAATATTGAATTATAATAGAGCCACCCTGGCTAATGGTCTAAAATAATGGAAGTAAAAGAGAAAATCAAGAACTAAATAAAAAAATGCCAGAAATATTTTTGAAAAAGTCGTAGATTCAAGTGTTCTTATTTGATTGACATTTCAGGGGCGTAGCCAGCTTTCAGTCAGGGGATGCGATTCGGTTTTCAGTCAGGGGGGTGCAATTATGGCATAAACAAGCCAAAAAATTAAGGATTATCTTGAATTTTAGAAAAATTGATGCAATTTTCTTCAAAATTGAGCTGGAAGCTTCAAATACAAAGCACTTTAAAGCTCATTTCTATATTTAAAACTCATTGTTATATTTAATTGGTTAGGGGGGGGGGTGCACCCATCGTACCCCCTCCTCCCCTGGCTACGACTCTGCAT